CCGCTCCTCTGAGTTGGCGCTACCTCTCCGCCAAATAGCACCATTTTCGTGATCCTGCGTGTTCGTTGCCAAGATATCTATTTCTCGACCTCTCAAGTAGAATGGAAGTTTGGGCGATTTTATCATTTATATAGGAAAAAGACCCTCTTGACCTACAATACATAACGCGACTAGTTCAAAGTCTTCTTGTGAATAGCGCGTCATACGTGGCCTTTGACGCTTGTGCACCTTGAAGTTGACAGAACTTTTCTTATGTGAATTCCTTCTTCCTAAACCCTAAATAATCAAAGTGATTTCATGGCAAGATCGCTTGTGATCTGCAAAGAAAGAAGGAATCTTTATAGATCAGTCTTCCTTGCCTCAAAAATCCACATTGCTTGCCGTGAGCTGAGAGGCATTTCGAGCAGCAGCTTAAATTTTTTTAAACCTGGGCACCATTTTCATTATAGGTTGGAGGGCAAAGCGTGGAGGTGGATGATGACACAGAGGGGCAGGATATAATCTCCAGCATTCTCCACCGTGCCTCAAGGAACTCACTGTTGTGCTCGAGTATAGCAAGGATGGTGATGACCAGATGGAAGTTAGCAGTCACTGCTGTTGTCTCCCTCACAAAGCTCTCCCTCGAAGCTCTCCATGGGACCAAATGGGGAGCAGCGTACTCCACCGCGATTCAGGAGCTCCACATCACTGGGAGACCATGTTGGGGGGTGTGGGATCTTGTATGTAGAGACACATCCTCGCGCTTGGTGACACCTCCGGGCACAAATGATTTATTTGTGGGCACAAATGACTGTAACACAAATCAATCAGTAAGATTTAACAAAGAAAAAAAACCAAAGAAGAATAGTCAAGATCTACATGAAGAAATAGTTGTATTGTCTCCAGATTAACAAAGAAAAGAGACTGTCCATGGTCATCTTGTGTTCACTGTCAATTCATTGGAGCGCAAGCCTCAAAACATAGGCGAGACTGGGAGAGATTGGCGATGGCATCCACCTTCCAGTGTCCATATCCAACTTACGAAGGTTGTCACATCGCATGTCCACAACGCAAGAGTTACACTGTTCAAAACCTCTAGGCTCGGGCACGAAGCTAGCAGCATCTGGAGCAGCGCATGGGGGACGTAAGAGTAGAGCTCACATCTTTTTACACGAATCATCTTGAAAAGAGATCTAAGGCAAGAAAGAATCATGGCTGTCCACTCTTGATAGGAAAGATCAACGCAAAACACTCAAATGAAACGCAGACCACTACAACCCTGTCTTGGATTCGATCGAAAACCCATCGAGCCTCCATTGCCACATTTCCCATACATGTTGATCAAGCTACTGGCCACACGAGGATTGGATTGGAGCCATATCCTGTGTGGATGTGGATCCTCCTCCCTCTCTCCAAATCCCTGGCGCCGGTGCAGGATTTCATGCTGTCCTTGACTCTTAACCATAAACTTTTCTCTCTATTTCAAAGAGGTAGGAGCGAGAGGAACTCCAGTCTCCTCTCTATGTGGCGGTAGCTCCAGTGGAACCTGTGCAGAAAACTCACAAGGACGAGCATCAACATCGTGACTCGCAAAACTACAAGAGGTACCAATTCATCTTTCGTGGAACTTAGTAGTCATGCAGTTGATTTTCAATAAGAACTTGACAAAGATCAGGCATTGCTACTTCTCACGCGTGAAAAATGCGACCAGGAAAAAAGAAGAGCAAGTCGAACAGCAGCCGGGGCTGCAGTGAATCACGATGTCTTCCACTTGATGAACTCCAAGTAAATCCTTGAAAACCATCATGGTGGGCGGTGTGGGATCTTGCACGTGAAGATGAACAGCCACATCCTTACGCTTGGTGACACCTCCAAGCTCCCTCAGTTAACAGCGAACACAAGATGACCATGGACAGTCTCTTCTCTTTGTTTGGCTTTGGAGACAATACATACTGACTGCTGTTCTCTTCAGGTTCGTTTTTTCTTTTGTTTTGTCTTGTGTTTCTTGCTGATCGATCTGTGTTGCAGTCATTTGTGCCTGGAGGTGTCACCAAGTGCAAGGATGTGACTGTTCATCTTCACGTGCATGATCCCACACCACCCAACGTGATGGTTGTCAAGGATTTATGGAGTTCATCAAGTAAAAGAGGTTGTGATTCACTGCAGCTAAGTTGTGGCGAACTGGTCACTGAAGCCACGCTACGAATGCTTCCGGGTGCTGTTCGACTTGCTATTTTTCTTTCCTGGTCGCATTTCTTTCGCGCGTGAGGAACTGCATCACTGGCTTTATTAGTTAGCAGTGCCTGAGCCTGGCAACGTATCACCTTTTGTAGTTTCTAAATCAAACAAAACGTTGGCGAGCTTTTGCCAAGTACTTCCAAGACTGTAATAGCTTCTTTTGTGATTTGTTTGTAAGGAAGGGCATTCTTATACACAAACTTCACTGGATTCTTCGTCTGTACAAGTTTTTCCTGCCAAAGAAACTTCTTCCACCCTTGCAGCGCACAGAGATAGAGCAGCCGCGGCTGGAGAAGAAGCCTCAAATTCTTTGATCATGGCCTTGACGTCGTCTAGCTTTCCCGACCGGCAAACCCAGTCGAGGATGGAGCTGCAAGTGGTGGCGTCCGGCAGCATCCCCTTGGCCAGCACCACTCGCAGCAGCTCCATCGTCCCGGCCAAGTTCCCAGATCTGTGGAGACCACTGAAGCAAGCCGCGAAGGTGAACGAGTCCGGCTGGTGGCCCTTGCCGACCATCTCCTCAAGAACAGTGATCGCCTGCTCGGTCTTCCCCGACTTCCACAGCCCGTCCACGAGGATGTTGTAAGTCACGGTGTCGGGATCCCAGCCAAAGCTCTTAAGCTCGCTCACGAGCTGGAGAGCGTCGTCGGTTCTCGAGGCCCGGCAGAGCGCGTAGACGAGCGAGCCGTAAGTGATGGAGTCGGGCACGCAGCCGGAGCTCACCATCTCCTCCAGGAACTGGCAGGCCTCCTCGATCCGGCCGGACTTGCACAGGCCGTGGACAAGCGCGTTGTAAGTCACCACGTTTGGAGGAACTCCCAGATTCCCCATGAGATCGAGGATGTCCCGCGCGGCCTCCACCTGTCCCGCCTTGCACAGCCCGTCGATGAGCGCGCCAAAAGTCATCACGTCCGGCTGCAAGTTCTTGGCCACCATCTCCTCGAAGAGCGCGGACGCCTGCTCGAAGTTGCCGGCCTTGCAAGCCCCCGCGATGAGAATGTTGAAGGTGACTTTGTCAGGCACGAGCTCCAGCTCCAGCATCCGGTTGTAGACCTGGAGCGCTCTCGACACGTCCCCGAGCTTGGAAAGTCCGTTGATACAGCAGTTGAAAGCGTACGTGTCCGGGTCGGGCATGGCGTCGAGCAGCGCCTCGGCCTGACCCGCCCGCCCCGTCCGGAAGAGACCATCGATCAAGGTGCAGTACGTGATCTTGTCCGGGGCCAGGCCGTGCTTGAGCGTCATGTCGTCGAACATCTGGAAGGCCTCGCCCGATCGGTCCGACTTGCAGAGTCCGTCGATGATCGAGTTGAAAGTCACCACGTTTGGCGTGCATCCCCGCGACGCCATGCCGTGGAGGAGCTCCAGAGCCTCGTCGACGCGGGAGGCCTTGCAAAAGGCGTCCACCAGGACGCTGTAGGTGATCACGTCCGGGGTGACGCCCTTGTCCACCATACTCTCGATCATGGCGTGGGCTCTCTCCATCTTGTCCGCCTTGCACAGCCCGTTCACGAGCGCGTTGTAGGTGATAACGTTCGGGACGTAGCCACCCGCGATCATGTCGTCGAAGACGCTGCAAGCCTCGTCGATCTGGCCACACTTGCACAGCCCGTCGATCAGCGTGCTGAAAGTCACGGTGTCTGGAGAGACTCTCAAGCTCCCATCTCGCAAGCTCCTCATCAGCTCGCACGCCTCGGCCGTCATGGACTGCTTGCAAAGCCCGTCGAGGAACGAGTTGTAAGTGATGATGTTTGGAAGAACGTCGCAGCTCTTCCGCGTCATCTCCTGGATGAGCTCTCGCGCCTCGTCGATCCGGCCGACCTTGCACAGCCCGTTGATGAGCACGCTGTAGGTGACGACGTTTGGGACGCAACCTCGAGAGCTCATGTCGCCATGGAGCCGCCGTGCCTCCTCCAGATCCCCGGCTTTGCACAAGCTATCGATCAGCGTGTTGTAAGTCACCACGTCGGGGTGGTGGCCTCTCTCCACGAGCTCTTCGAAGAGCTCCATCCCTGCGCCAAGATCGTTGCTCTTGCAGAGCCCATTGATGATCGTGTTGTAAGTCACGATGGTGGGAGCTACGCCGTCGCGAGCCATCTCCCCGCGGAAGATCTCCAGCGCGCGAGCTGTGTCCCCCGCGCGGCACAGCGACTGGAGCACGATGTTGTAGTCCGCAACCGAGCGCGAGGAGCTCCGGATCCGGCGGAAGAAGCCGAGAGTCCTCTCGACGTCGCCGCCGGCCTTGTAAGTCGCGCGGAGGAGCGTGCTGTAGGTGAAGTGATTGGGGCGGCAGCGTGGCGGGAGGCGCGAGCGAAAGAGATCGATGGCCTTGGCGGGGGAGCCCGACTTGACGAGGAGATTGAGGTACTTGTTGAAGGAGAAGATGGTGTGCTTGAATCCCGGGAGAGCCGCGGCCCAGTCGTAGAACTGGGTGCCAAGCTCGGCATTGCCGTCGAGCTGGGCGAGAATGGCGGCCGCGACAGAAGGGTGGAGGCGGCCCTTGCAGCCGCGGAGGGCGGCGACGACGCTCTGGCCGGGCCTCAGCGATTCCAGCGCCTCGGAGATTGATCGGGGATCCTCGGCGAGTAGCGGCTTGCAATTACCTGCTGCGCCTCCTCCTCCTCCTCCTCCTCGGCGGGGATTTGGCGATGGCGAGGGCTGTGGCGCGACGATGCATTGTGAGGCAGCAGCGCCATGGCTGCCGCTCACAACGCCACACATATGTGATCCGATTGGATAAAATGCCCTAGGTTCGCTGGGATATTCTTTGAGCCGTTGCAAGCATATTCGCGGGTCAAGATAAGTTAAACTCAGACCGTCGGATTCTTAAGCTCTACGAACGGCTAGGATTGCTCGAGCTCAAGTTAACCAAAGTTAAGAGACAAGAATCTACCGTTAGCCAACTCTAAGTTCTGCGTATCTCGCCTTTACAAGTAATGTAAAATGTGTGTGCCAGTTGAGGCTTTCAATCGGCAGCTCTGTCCGAGATGGACGTCGCCAAAGACATACCTGTGACATCAGTTTTTTTCAGGTGTAGTTCGATTCAACAACGACGCCTACCTGTATTCGCATCGCTGCATCATAGCACACCGTGCTTTGGAGTAGTCCCAGAAGCAATCCTCGTCTCGCATAGGTTCCCTCTTGGCTGCTTTTCATCGAAGATGAGCGTCGTGTTTTCTACTCTTTAGTCACACTGAAGGTGTACCTTTGGACACAAAACTTCGGGTTGCCTGAGGATGGGAGTCGTGCAAGATCTCCAGCCAAAGCTCCCTGAGCAGAACAGGAGATCGAACCAAGTTTCTGTGGTCGACTGCACAACCAAGTTACTCCCGACGAACACAATTGCAATCCAAGACAACACTTACTCTTGTCGACTTCCCAGACGGCGGTCTTCTTTCCGGGTATGGACAGCGCATCTTCATAGTACGTGATATACTTCATTCTGTTGTCCCGGCTCACGTTGACAGGAATGTCGCCTCCAGGGCGAGGCTCAACGTTGAAAAGCTCTTGGACGTCTGAGCCGTCGTGTGCCGTCTTGAAGATAGAAAACCAAAACGCGTTTCAACAGCATGTTGCAACAACAGGACAACAATCTTCACCTGAGGAGCCCGCGTCACGTTTACTTGCTCGCCCAGCCATGTCTTACACCACGAAAGCGAGTTGTATGGCACCTGAAAGTTCCAAGTTACTTGAAACTTCACGAGCCAAATAGCATCACATACCGTTGCATCCCCGGTTACAGCACTTGGAGATCCTTGCACTTCTACGCCCGACCTGCAGAAGAGAACGAACAGTATTTCCTTAAAACAGCAGCAACAGCGAAATTTGTATTACCTCGACACAAGAGTGCCATCCGTTTCATAAAAGACATCTTTCATCATCCAATTGTCTGGAAATGGCCTCCCAGTCGGTGCAAAATGATACCCAACCTGATGATTGCTTGATGTTACTTTCCATAAACATCAGGAATGGCTTGTTATTTACCTCCGTTTTCAGATTGACGCCATAGATACAGTACACGTTCTTGATAGGTGGTCTCTCCCATGGGGTGAGTGGATTAAGTACAGGATCATCCAAGTAGTATCTGGAAAAAAACGCACGCATGTTAGTTGGGGTGATAAGCTCGAACTCGTCCCACACTTCTTGAGCAGCTCAAATGCGGATTTTCCGTCTGCGTCAATATCCAGGTTCTCTAGGAAAATAGTTCCATCTGCTATTTTCTGAGCAGGATAGGTTCGCTGAAAAGGAAGAGAACACTCTGGTAAAGTTGGTAACGGGTTGACCTCCAAAGAGAAACCTGAGAAAGAAGAGAGGATAAAAAAAAAAGTAAAAAAGAGTTGGAACGCTTTACACGTCTTTACCAGCATCCATCGGCACGTCGATCTTAAGAACGTCCATAGGCCAGCTGAAAGCATCGTCCTCATTGCAGGAATCTCGCCCTGTACAGCAGCATGCTTTCGTCGAGGGAACACAGCTCGGAGAAAATGGTAGCATCCATAATCCCGAGCTGAAAGTTGAAAGCATCGACCTGGCCGTCCCCTGATACGATCATGAGAAAAAACAATCAGCAAAACAAAGCTCCAAACCTCGGCAATAGGAAGCCCAAATGTCACTCCAGATAGCCACCCTTTCACTGTTTCTGCAGCTCCCAGGAATGGCGCACCTGCGATAGAAGAGACCAACTGAGAAACGCCAACACAAAACCACAGTTCCATCGCATCGCACCAAGAGCATGATATGCGAATATGTGATCATCGATCCACATCAAGTAGTCCTTTGGAGCAATCTCTTGCTTGAGCCACTCCAAAAAATACCGAAACACGTTGTTCCCGAGCGAGTGAGCGAAGACGAGCGACGGGCCTCCTCGAAGCTTTCGACATGTTTCGAAAGTTAGCCTGGACGAGAAAGTAGTTGTCAGCTCCAAGAACAAGAACTAGAACAAGAACGAGAAGTTTCTCAAACCTTAGCCTATGAAAGTAGAGGTCTCGTGCCTCTAGAGCAGACCCCGCGAGCCTCCAGTCATACGGTGCCGCGACGATAGACTCCGCCTCGATTCCAAATTCTACGCACCAAGCAACCCAGTCCTTCCAGACCGAGGAAAGAGGCCCTGAGAGAAAGAAAGATCAAACAAGCAAAAGACCATACAGCTCTACGACTCAATCGAGATATAGAAAGAACTTTCCTCCTCTTACCAGTGATATAGCCTGGATCAAGCTCGCTGATCGCGGCGATGCCACTGTCGGGTCGCGATTTACACTCTGGATGATCCGTCTGGTTCACGGGATCCAGCACCATGCACTTCATCCAGCAGTATGGGACCGACAAGACCTGTGCGAGCACCATCAATCATTGCTAGTATATAGAAAGCTCTCGACCAAACTAAGAAGAGAAGATCTTTCTCTGGGGAGCTCACCTTCCTAGTGTCGAGCCACACCGGGTCTAGCGGGTTGAAATTGAGCGGCGAGAAGGGGCAATCCAGCAGCGACCACGAGCGGAGGCGCGTGGACATGAATCCGGGGATGATGACGCCCGAGAATTTGCGATGGTGCTCATCGGTGCCCCAGTTCCTGGCGTCCACGCCGGCTCCCAGCGCGATCGGCGATAACCCTAGGCCGAGGAGGAGGAGGAGGCGGAGGAGGAGCGGCGCCATTGCCAGCGCCCGATTGCTGCCAGTACCGCCGCGGCATCGGATCATCGAATGGTACTCGCAGCGACATTCTAACTAGGCTAGCAATTGGAGGGATTGAAAAAAGCGAGGCCCCTAGGCAAGGGAGGACTTTCAACGATAAAATCGTGTTGGGTTTATGGTATGGCCCATCTCATCCATCTTGCTCTTGGAAGATCTACCATGCCAACAACTTTTTTAGAGTTTAATCCGGTTTTCTATGACGATTTTGCTCCGTGCTCGCTGCTGCTCCACTCGATTCTACTGTCGAGCCCAAGGTAAGATTTTGATAGAGCTTACAGAGAGTAGATTTTGTGTTCTTGCAGAGAGTGTGGGGCGAACACGCAGAGAAATCTTGTTCCTGGGCCATGGAATTGCGGCAGCTTCAGCGCTATCACTGCCCTCTTCGCCGAGGTCTTCTTTTCTTTCCTCGCTGTTCTTCTGGCATGGAATTTTTTGCGTTTTGCAGCGCCAGGAAACTCTACACAAACTTGGAAGAGGCAAGGGAGGCCGGCGAAGCTCGTCGCGAGGAGAAAGAGAGAGCCCAGGGTCCAATTATAACTCTGCCATCGGGAGTAAGGTAAGTTTCTCGATCGATCTCGCTCCTTGTCACATTCTTTCACCGATCAGATTCAGAGAACTCGACGCTGGCTCGGGAAGAACAGTGGCTCCCGGCGATGTCGTCTCGGTTCAATACGTTATATATCGATTAAACGGGTAAGAGTCCGCTGCCCATGATCTTTCCGAGTCTCACGCATCGAAGAAACAGCATGTATCTTGATTCGCTGGGTTACGGGAACGAAGGCAAAGACGACGTTGGAGAGGTTCTAACGTTCCAACTGGGTGGAAAAACAGTAAGATGTAATGCTTGGCATGGAGAAAAAAGTGTGACCTTTTGGAACCTTCCAGGTTCCTCGAGCTGTAGAACTCGGCATGGAAGGCATGAAGCTCGGGGGAAAGCGGAGAATTCTTGTCAATCCAGACTTGGGCTGGACCCAAGAATCAATGCAGCCTCAGCCAACAACAGCCGCAGCTGGACGGAGGCTGATGAATAGCTTCCAGAAACCATTGCTGTTCGAGATCGAGCTGGTGAAGATTAGTGACGGAACTTGATCGTGAAAACCACGTTGTATATATCATCCTTGCTTAGAAACATTCTATCCCGTAAACTCCAGCATTGAAGTTCTACACAGCATGAAATCCACGAACTATTTACATCGAAGGTGGAGGTTTCCGGACAAGGGTTGCCTGCTCCAAGTCAAAAGCAATCTCTATAAGAGTTGGTTCAGAGCCTTTGCTTCCCAGAATTCCAATTCCAAATGGAACGCCCGTGGAGGAGACGTATCCCGCAGGAATGGTGATGGCAGGATAGCCAGCAATCGCCGCAGGAGCAGTCATGAGAGATGGCATTGCTCCGATCAGCGCATCCAGCTTGTGCGTCTCAAAAAGATGATCAATCCCGTGCTTTGTGAGGAACTGATTTCGTTTGACGGCCTCCTTGTAGTCCTTTGAATGCGTGCCTTTGGTTGCCTGTGACTCGAGGAACGTTTCTTGGCCAAAGAGCTTCATCTCCTGGAAACTTGGAAAGAAGTTTGTGAAAGGTGGTCCTTTTACGAGAGTGTCCTCCACTTACCTTGTCAGCGTGCTGGATGTTGAACTTGATCACGTCCTCGAGGCTCCGGACCTGGCTCTTGACGAGCTGAGCAAGGTACTGGTTGAGCTCCACCTTGAAATTCGTAAGAAGAACCAGATCCTCGCTCACGCCCGAGAGGGTCTCATCTGCGTGCGGGAGCGTCAAGTTCTCGACAATCACCGCTCCACGAGATCTGGGGATGGATCAGACAGTTTGATGAGTGAAGAGGCTCGTGAAACTTAACTTGGCGATTGAGATCATCTTCTCTACGGCGGCAATCGTGTCCTCCCGGATTCCTTGAAAGAAAGGAACGCGAGCAATGCCAAGCCGCTTACCGCGAAGCCCATTCCGCCTCAAGAACTGCTTGTATCCTCCCCGAGGAATGTATTTAGAAATGAATAGAGTTTGCCGGTCTCTCGGGTCGGCTCCGGCTATGGCGTCCAGCACCGCCACGGCATCCGCCACGCTCCGGCAAATCGGCCTGCGAAAAGCTCGGCCAGCGTTGATCGTGTTTGACTAAATTGACCGTGTTTGACTGGGCTTACCCGACCGTATCCTGGGTGTGCGAGATTGGGATGGCGCCAGCTCGGCTTGTGAGGCCGACCGTGGGCTTGATTCCCACCACCGCATTCACGCTTGAGGGGCAGAGGATCGATCCATCCGTCTCGGTCCCTACCGAGACCGAAACCATGTTGGCAGCTACCGCCACCGCGGAGCCACTGCTGGATCCGCACGGGCTTTCGTCCAGATTGTAAGGATTCTATGGCAAAGATCACTAAGAACCTAGCCAGCCCAAGTGGATGGATCCGAGGCTATACCTTTGTCTGACCGCCAAGCGCACTCCAGCCGCTGGTGGAGTTTGTGGATCGAAAGTTCATCCATTCGCTGAGGTTGGTCTTGCCAAGAATGATCGCTCCGGCCCTCCGGAGCCTGGCCACAATGCCAGCGTCCCGAGGAACTTTGGAGCCCAGTAAGGCCAGAGAGCCCGCAGTGGTGCCCATCCTATCGGCAGTGGCGATGGAGTCCTTGAGCAGCACTGGGATTCCATGGAGCCCCTGAGCAACTGCGCTGCTTTGCCGCCTCTGTGCGTCTGCCTCATCGGCCAGGGCAAGAGCGTCGGGGTTGAGCTGGATGACTGCGTTGAGCGTGGGATTGAGGTGGGCGATTCGATCCAGGTAGAAACCGACGAGCTCGCGCGAGGTGAGGCTCCCGGACCGGAAGGCCTGCTGGATTTCTTCCACGCTCGCCTCTAGGATGGGCGATCGAGTGCCGGAGAGAGAGCACGCCGCGAGCAGCACCGCGACGGTGAGTAAGAACGCCATTACTATGAAAGCTTGTTTCTTTCCACTTTGTTCCACTTTCCACTAAGTTACCTCCTGATTCTAGCCAGGACAAGCATTTCTTGGAGGATCATGAAAAGGTGGTAAGCTTGGATTTTGTCATAGAGCATTGGTCTATACGAAAAAGATGCCAAGAGCCAGCCAAAACTGACTTGGTCTTTCGTTTTAGCACTGATAGTAGTATAGTACTAGTGTTCTCTCCATGGCCGAGGATCATTCATCCTTTTCGTTTGGGGTGATTGCGGATGTTCAATTTGGGGACAAAGACGATGCTGGTAGCTTACATTTTTCTCCCTGCTCGTTCTTTTCTTTATTAGCTGGAACTCCTTTCTACTCCAGAGGCATCGGAAGGCAATGGACGCATCAAACGATACAGGGAGGCTCCACAGAAACTGTCTAAAGCTGTGATGCACTTCAACTCTAGAAGGAGCGAATTGGAGTGAGTAGCAAAGCTAGAAAAATTGTGTTCCATGGCGAAATTAATAACCTTGGCTAGCCAGGTTTGTTCTTTCACTCGGAGACATTATCGATGGGAACGTCTCGCCAGAGAAAACCACCGAAGACTTTGAGACGATCCTGGCTGAACTTCAAAAGGTTTTTACTCGTTTTAATTTTTACGAACAACTGAAAGTTTTTCTTTTGTTTCTCAGCTGGAGCTCCCAGCGTTCCATGTTTTGGGAAACCACTGCTTGTCATTGCCGAGGGAATCAGTCATGGCACAACTTGGGATGCCAGCTTCTTACTACGTGCAAGAAATGAGCCATGCTTGGTCTCTGGTAAGCTTGAAAGTATCGCATTGGACACGTTCATTTTTTCGTTTTCTTTTTTCATTCAGGTAGTTCTTGACACAATGGACATGAGCACGAAGTGGTCGGAGGACACACAAAACTTCAAGGTAGCTTTTACTCATTCGCCATGGTGTCAAGAATTTTTCCACTCATCAACACTAACAGGAAGCCACGGAATTTCTTCACGCACATCCTTTGGGCGACGATCATCCCCAAATGTCTTTGTCGAACGGGGGCATTGGATCCATCCAGATGTCCTGGCTCAAAGAAGTGATAGCAAACGCAGAGAGGTATATAATCTTTTTCCCCAAGATTTCCATGTCTCCATTATCGTCTTGTCCAAAATTCTAGGAACAAGATCAAACTTATTGTAGCGGCACACCATCCGGTAGTAGCCGGCTCGGCTCCGGACGGCCTTCTAGCTTGGAACCATCAAGAGGTAAGAAAGCAAAGAAGTTATAAATTTCTTCTTCTTGCTCTCTCAGATCTCCTCGGTGCTCGTGGAAAGCTCAGCCTTTGTGCTCTTTCTGTGTGGTAAGCTCGAGGATTTGGCTGATTCAATAGTATTCTTGTGTGAATTGTTTGTTGCAGGGCACCACCATCCGGGTGGCTACGCATGTATCAATGGCAAGCACTTTGTCACCGTGCAAGCCATCTTGGAAGCTCCAACAGGCTCACAGGCTCACGCAGTGGTAAATGTGTTTGATCGTCACAAAATCACCATACAAGGCACCGGTACTGTGATCAGCCGCGTCCTGGAAATTTGATTAAGCCAAAGTTCCTCTAGAATCATGAGCTCAAAGTCCAATGCTTCATGCTAATGAAATACTTTTAAGTTGACTGCATTGACTTCCATAACTTTGAAGTAAGTCTTTGCAAATGTTTCATTCTTTTGTCTCGATTGTCTGGAATCTTGCCCATGGAAGAGCGCCCCCAACTCGCCCTGTCCTCACGATCTGGAACGAAATCCCTATTCGATTCGGCTAGAAATCTGGACGAAAAGCTCTCAGCAGACAATCCAGCAGAAGCCCCCGGTGGAAAGAAAGAAAACTACAACAAGTATGTGGTGTTTTGTACATTGCTGGCTTCTCTCAACTCTCTACTGCTCGGATATGGTACGTTCTTCTTCCTTCTGGACATGCCTTGATTCTCATTCTTTCTTCTCAATTCATATATCCAGATATTGGTGTCATGAGTGGTGCCTTGCTCTACATCAAAGATTACTTCGAGCTCAACAGCGTGCAGCAGGAAGTACTGGTTGGCATTCTCAGCCTGGCGACTCTCGTGGGTGGGCTCATGGCCGGGAAGGTGGCTGATGCGGTGGGAAGAAGGAAGACAATGGCTACAGCCGCCGCAATCTTCTTCGTCGCTGCCTTGCTCATGGCATTGTCTCCCTCATACGCGGTGCTCATGGCAGGACGAGTTCTATCGGGGTTGGGGGTCGGCTTTGCTACTATCTCTCCAGTGTACACGGCAGAACTCTCTCCTCCCGGAAGCAGGGGATCCCTCGGCTCGTCTGCCGATCTTTTCGTCAACATCGGGGTCCTGCTTGGATACGTAGCGAACTTTGCACTCTCGCCGCTTCCCGAGTGGCTCGGATGGAGGCTGATGCTGGGAGTCGGCGCCGTCCCTTCCGTGTTCCTGGCTTGCGCCGTGCTGGTGATGCCCGAGTCTCCTCGCTGGCTGGTGATGCAAGGTAGGCTCTCTCCAGCCAAGGCAATTCTCCTGAAAACGTGCGCTGGGAACAAGATGGAGGCGGAGTCGAGGCTCGCGGCGATAGTGGAGTCACTGGGAGACGAGTACGAGGTAGAGAAAGGAGAAGAACTCACCTCCTCAAAGGTGGATGATCCGGAAGAGCTCCTTGAGCCGAGGAGAAGAAGGAAAGCTAGCAACGTCTGGAAGCAGTTACTGCTACCGTCGGCTCCGGTGCGCAGGATGCTACTGGTGTCACTGGGAATTCACTTCTTCCAGCAGGCATCGGGCGTGGACGCTCTCGTGTACTACAGCCCCACGGTGTTCGCACAGGCGGGGATGAAGAGCAGGACGAGCGTGCTGGGCATGACCATCGCCGTCGGCGTGACGAAAACTCTCACCATCCTGGTGGCCACCATCTGGCTCGACAGCCTGGGACGCAGGCCGCTGCTCCTGGCAAGTGCCACCGGGATGACCATCGCGCTCACCACGGTAGCGGTGACGTTCCGCTTCCTTCACGTCGGTACGAAGGTGGACACGAGCGGTGCAGAGCACGCGTCGGTGGCGGTGGTGGTCATCGCCATGCTCGCCATCTGCGGATTCATGACGAGCTTCTCCATTGGATTCGGGCCGACGGTGTGTGTGTTGACGTCGGAGGTTTTCCCGCTCACTCTCAGGGCCCGGGCGATGAGCCTGTCCATCGGGATGAACAGGGCGATCAGCGGGGCCGTGGCGCTGACTTACTTGAGCCTGGCCGGGGCGATCACCACGTCCGGGGCTTTCTTCGTCTACGCCTCCATCGCTCTTGCATCCATCGGGTTTGTTTTCTTCGTGGTGCCCGAGACCAAAGGCAAGTCACTGGAGGAGGTTTGTAAGTATTTCGGGTGGCAGCCGGATGATCTCAGGCAGGAAAAAGTATAGGATATAGTATTTCTCTCTGCATATTGTGTCCTACATCAACGACGTTGCATTGAGGCATCTTATCAAACATGGTCTTCGAATCGGCCAGATGCCCAGCCAGGGAATATGCTTGGAGCATCGCCATGTAGAAAGTCAACGTTTCTCTCCGGCATGGAATCGAAGAGAGAGGGCATTTGATCGAACGTAGATTTGTCGAGACCAAGATGCCTGCTCAGGGCATATGCTCATAGCATCGCGGTCCAAGCGCAAACATCCGGCTCCGGACGCTGTATGTTACCAGGTGGGTGTTAGCGATTTCCTTCCCATAGACAACCATGAGCACAGTGACACAAAACATCGTGTTGCCTGGACTACATTGTGCTTGGCCAGCACCGCAGTGGCCACTCCGGTCCACGGAGTTCTAGGTGCGGCTATCGAGGACTACACTCCAGACAATCTGCCAATTGCCTTTCGACAATAGCTCGTGCGTCAAATGCCGCCAAGATGTCCAAGGAGGAGTGATTCATTTGGCAACCGCAAACTTCATGTCCAGCACCATCTGCTTTCACGCAGCAAACAAGAATGCGGGCCACGGGAGACACGGGAAGACGTTATCAAAGAAGACCCATGGGACCATCTTCGATGGCTTCCCAAAGGTCTTGATCAAGCATAGCACCAAGAATCTTTCCTTACAGTCTTAATCTTCTCGAAGTGTGGAGAAAGCAGGAGTTAAGTCAGAGACGAAGTTTGGATGTAAAAAACCTTGGAATCAACAGAGACAATAGAAGTACTAGCAATTCTAAGGACGATCGTTGCACGCACATACACGATCAGATCAGAACAAGAGACGATCACCACCCTCGTTAGCACCTATGTCTTGTTCCGCCATGAACCTCCAGGGGTGCAACTTCCGCACACGAAGGGTTCCCGGCCACCACATCACGGAAGAACTTCTCCGCCTCGGCCTGTTCATCGCCAGTGCTGGCCAAGCGCATTGCGAGCTTGAACGCGGACGCAGCCTTGTTGTCGCCATCGGACACAGCCTGCCCATACTGCATAGCTGCGGAGTAGCTTCCCAGTGCCGCCCCATGCGCCCACGCAAACCCTGCATACATGGAGTAGCCAGTCTCGAAAGGCATGCGACCCAGGATGCTCCACATCCGGGGCTGCTGCCTGTTGAGCATCAAGGACCTCCTTGCCGACAGGATCGCCTCATGAGCTTCCTTGCTCCCCACTGCGCCAAAGCCAGCCAAGCGTGTGCCTCCCATCAGGCTGGATTCCGCGCCAGCGCATGTCTCAGATGCTCCATGGCTTCGCTTAGATCCTCTGCGGGAGTCACAGGGTGTTTTCATGAGGGCCATCTCCTCGCCCAGTATCAAAACGGCGAGTCTAGCCTCGACAAGGCAAAGCATGGCAGCATCCGTGCTCCTCTGGAGCTCGGCCAGCAGCTGATCCTTTGCCATGCCACGGACGCCGCCGTCCAATCTCTCCATGGCGCTGTTGATCCCGTCCATGTCCGGGCAATCGCTTGCAGCTTTTCCCACGCGCGATCCAGCGGGAACCAGTTCTGGCAGGCAACCATGAAGTTGAGCAGCCAGCAAAAGTCGTGAAAGTGTTGGGTATAAGCAGCAGCTCTGAATTGATGCACTGGCCAGGAACTCGTCCCACTTTTCCTTGGTGATGTTGCCCGACTTGTTGCAGAAGGCTTTGAACAGGCGCTGGGCCTTGAAAACTTGTACGTGGTCCAGCTGCTCGGTCGGACTTGACGTCAAGAACCCTAAAAATTTGAATTAGCAATCATACAAATTTCTTAAAATAGCATTAAATGGAAGAAATTTACTAAATATTGGTCTATATGTAAATGTCGTTGTAGTATAGTGGTGAGTATTTCCGCCTGTCACGCGGATGACCCGGGCTCAATCCCCGGCAACGGCGAGTTTTGTCCAGTCCAATTTTTATAATATGGTCCAAGCTTGCCGGATTTCAGCTCTCCCAGCTTCCAAATCCCTTGGAGAAATCAATGTAGAGGACGTAGACAGATTGGTCGTTTGGGATCTTGAATTTGTTGTGGATTCCATTCAGTCTCCTTAGTCGACGTGGTTGTGGATCATCCCGCTCACCAGAATGTCGGTCTCGGGCGGCATGCTTCTGGGGATCCTTGAGGCCGCACATGGTCTTGAAGAGTATGATCCCGGGGCAGTCGCGGATGGTCGTTTTTTATTTCCATGTACGTTATACATTATCCATAGCCACATACTTGGCATGGTGATCCGTATTGTCCTAAGAACTGCAGTAAACCTCAGCCATGTAAGGCACAAAAATATCAGAAAAAGTTTTGACAGAGGGGCATTCTGAGAATTGAACTCAGGACCTCTCGCACCCAAAGCGAGAATCATACCACTAGACCAAATGCCCATTAGACAATGGGAATGAATTAGTCATTTTGTTCTTCCTGTTTACTAATTCCCATTCCGCGAGATCACCAAAAGAAATCATCTCGGCAGATTGCGTGTGAGGATACGTGGGTATATGGCCCATGCAGGTTTCGAACCTGCAACCTTGGCGTTATTAGCACCACACTCTGACCAGCTGAGCTAATAGGCCTTATGTTAAATCTACTGTTATGGAATTCGTACACTTAATAATAATAATAATAATAATAACAGTTATTTAAAAGGACCCACTAAAGGCATCAGACCATCCTATCTACTGTTAATGTGGAGTTTGGGGATCTGTAGGCTCAACGATGGCAAACTCATTGCAAAAACAGAGTCTATATCCAAAACACATTGGCATGCATGAGCATAGAAACAAGGTCTCAAGAATGTTGTCTCAAGAATAATTCTCAAATTTTTCTTGGCAAGAAATTTTAAGAAAGGATGGTGAATAAAAACTCTTTGATGCGAAGTATGTGGCTAAGTACAAGTAAACATACATGGAAATAAAAACTTGATCCCCTACAGTATAAATACCTCATCTCTCCTGTTCCATCAGATGGGGAACTTAGCCATCGCCAGGGATGCGTTTGAGGAGGTGGTGAAAGTGGGAGGAGGGGACGAGGACTCGGCTCCCCAACACGTACGCGAGCGTTGGAATCAAGGAGGAGAGCCAGGCTCGTCGCTCAAAGAATATGCGTGCAAGAAACTCGGTGGCTTCCTACATTCTTGAGACAACATGCTTGGTGCGAGAAGTTTCCGTTTCTTCGTTCATCCTCAAGCCATAAGAAGGAGAAAATAGCTCCTGAACATGTCCAACGAACCCAAGATGATCCCACTCCACAATCACGGGAGCTTGTAATCATGAGCACATGTAATAGTGTATCTGCGCGGCCTCTCCCTGACATGAATCCGGGGAAGAAATCTCCACGCATTCGTCAGTGGATTTTCAACAGCTTATATTTTGGGCATGCAAGTTGCGAACCTGGCGGTATTAGCACCACACTATGGCCAGCTGAACTAATAGGCCTTATGTTAAATTCGCGATTATTATATTTTTGTATAATGTTAGCATGAAACCTTTTAGTTATAAGAACAAAAATTAAATCATAAAAATAAAAATTATATATTTTTTTAAAGTTTAAACAATGTGTCAGCATAGAAACAAGGTCTTAAGAATGTAATGCAGGAGTTTTTTTCGCTTATCCCATGCCCGACCCGCGGCTCTCCTCCTTGATTCCAACGCTGGCGTACGTGTTGGCCATGAGAATGTATGGAGCCGAGTCCTCGTCCCCTCCTCCCAGTTTCACCACCTCCTCAAACGCATCCCTGGCGATGGCTAAGTTCCTCCACTTGCGAGCCGCTCCCAGCACAGCCATCCACGCCGTCACGCTCGGCTTGGACCTGGCCATCTCCACCGCCTCCTCCAAGTGATTGGCTCGTCCCAGCATGTCCACCATGCACGAGTAGTGCTCCACTCCAGGCCGACTAAACCCCGCCTTGCTCTCCATCGCCTGGAAGATCTCCTTCCCCTTTGCAACCAGCCCAGCGTGACCACAAGCGGAGAGGACCGAGAGATACGTGATCCCGTTGGGCTCCAGCTTCTCTCGCTCCACCATCCTCTCGAAGAGCTCCAGAACTCTGGCACTGTCTCCCTGGAGGCTGTATCCTGCTATGAGTGAGCTCCAAGTCACCACGTCCTTGCTCGCCGAGCTCTGACGATCAAACACGTCCTGAGCCTCGACCATGCTCCCACACTTGCCGTAGAAGCTCACCAGGGAATTCACCACTAACGTCTCGGAGCTGAGAGCCTCCGACTCCAAAACTCTGGCGTGGATCGCCCTGCCGGCATCCAGAGCTACCGAGTTTCCGCAAGCCTTGAGAGCAGCAGCAACAGTCCCGGCATCCGGCTCGAAGCCCCTCGCTTGCATGAGCTCGTAAACCCGAAGAGCTTTCTCCGGCTCCTCGTTCTGGACGTATCCCAGGATCATCGAGTTCCACGAAACCACGTCGTGGCTTTGCATACTGTCGAACACCAGCCGTGCGTCTTCCATGCTGCCACACTTTGCGTACATGTCGAGCAAAGCATTTGCTGCGAAGACGTCAAGCTTGTGCGGAGTTCTTTTCAGCTGAGAGTGAATAGCCCGGCCTTTCTCCAAACAAAACTCCCTGCAGAACTTCCCTCCTGCCTCGAGACTGCTGCAGGCGTTCAATGCAGCGGCATAAGTTCGAGCATCTGGGACGAATCCTTGGTCCTGCATTTGCTCGAACAGCTGCAAAGCCTCCTCGCTCATCTCATTCTCCACGTAGCCACAAACCATGACATTCCATGACACGACGTCGCGGGTGCGCAGTGCGTCGAACACGTCCCGTGCTTCGGCTATGCTTCCACACTTGGCGTAAACATCGACCAGTGTGCTGGCCACGCAAATGTCGAGATGGAAGCCTCTCTGCGTCAGCTGGGAATGGAATGATCTAGCCTTGTCCAGGAAGGAGCTGTCCCTTCTCAATTTCTCAGTGTCTGGCTTGCTCGCCACCAAAGCCTTGAGAGCCGAGACGTAAGTCCGAGAGTCTGGGACAAAGCCTTCGTCCAGCATACGTTGATAAGTGTCTAAAGCTGCCTCGATCTTTCCACCTTGGACGAATCCTGCTATAAGTGAATTCCAAGAGACCGTATTCCGCTGCGGCATTTTCTCGAAACACTCCATGGCAAGCTCAACTTCCCGGCTCTGTGCATACCCGCCAAGCAAACAATTCCAGGAGATAACGTCGTGGCGGATCATTCTGTCAAAAACTCCTCGAGAATCTGCCATGCTGCCACACTTCGCGTAGAGATCGACCAGCGAGCTTGACACGAACATGTTAGACTCAAACCCACTCTTTGCAAGCTGGGAGTGAATAGCCTTTCCTTTCTCCAAGCATGCCACCTTAACCATCCTTCCATCGACTTTCCTGCCCTCCTCTCGGACTGCTAAGCTGCTGCAAGCCTTTAACACAGCAACGAAGATCTGCGGGTCCGGCTCGACACCATTCTCTTCCATTCCGGCAAACAGCTCCAGAGCTTTCTCGCCTTCTCCAGCTTGTGCATATCCCATAATGATAGAGTTCCAGCTCACTACATCCCGTTCCAGCATCCCGTCAAAGACCGCTCGAGCCTCGCACAAGCTTCCACACTTGGCATATAAATCCACCAGCGTGTTGGCCACAAATCTGTTCGTCTCGAATCCAGCCTCTCGCAGCTGAGCGTGAATCATCCTTCCTTTCTCTATGCAAAGAGATTTCTTCCCTTCGTCTTTGGATGCCAGCCCAGCGGAAGCCTTCAACACTGCAACGTAAAGTTGAGCATCTGGAGCGAAACCTTCGGCCACCATCCGTTCAAACAAGTCGAGCGCTACAGACCCTTGTCCTGCCTGCGCATAGCCCGTGATTATACTAGTCCATGAAGCCACACTGCGACGAGCCATCTTGTCGAAAACTCTGTGCGCATCCACCAAGCTACCACACTTGGCATACATGTCGACGAGCGCATCTGCCACAGCATCCTCATAGCCGCCGCTTCTAGACAGGTCCCTGTGAATTCTGGCACCTGTACGTAAGTCTGTTGAGCTGCTGCAAGCTCTCAATGCGAACAAAACTTCCGAAACTCCTGAAGCCTTTCTCGAGCGGTGGTACCTTTCGGTTCTACTGTTCTCTGGAGCGGAGGTACTGTTCCTGACTTTATGGACCTTGTTTGCTTCTCCCAAAGCCTTGAGCTTGTCACGCATCCATTCGGGACAGCATGCAGAGTCAATCCACAGCTGTTGTCCCGTAAACACATGAACAAAGTCTGGAGAGGCAGCGTCTTTCTGTATCAAAGTGTAAGAGAATTAATAAACTAACACTAAAACTGAACTTTTACTTACCTTGGATGTTCTGTTGTCCCACCATTTGGACGGATCTTCAATGAACTGCTGCCATTTGAGATATTCGCTTGCATTGTGGCTCTGTGAAGAGAAGGCCCTCGAACCCAGCAGTCTCTTCATTCACCGAAGTCCATTACCTAGACGCTACCTTCAAACCCTGCTTTTAAACCCTCTCTTTAAAAGTACTGTAGGATGTCTTTGTCCGTCGAAGCCTGGAGTCTGCAGCTCTGTCCCAAATGCACGTCCCCGAAAACGTATCTGTAGTGGAGAAGTCGGTCGATATTTTTCGAAACACTGGCATAGGTACCTGTATTCGCAATAATCCAAAAGGCCGCACTTTGCCTTTGAGTAGTCCCAATAGCAGTCCTCGTCTCGCAAGGGTACTCGTCTAGCTGCAACAACCGGTCTAAGTTACAGAGAAAAAAGCGTTACTTCGAGCGCTGACCTTTGGAGACGAAACTTCTCACTGCTTGTGGGTGGGAATTGTGAACGTTTTCTAGTAGCAGTTCCCTGAGTAGAACAGGCGAGCGGACCAAATTCCTGTGATCAACTGCACAAACAACATGTAGAATTATCAGCAGCCAGGAGGTTCGCAGGACATTACTTTTGTCAAACTCCCAAACCGCGGTTTTCTTCCCTGCCAGTCCAACAGCGTCCTCATAGTATGTGATGTATTTTATTCGACTGTCCCGGCTCCCGTTGTATACAACATCACCTCCATGTTCGTGTTCCACGTCGAAAACCTCTTGAATGTCTGAACCTTCGTGTGCAGTCTAGAATCACAGAAATCAACAGGCTTAAAAGAATGAAACCAGCAAAGGACATACTTACTTGAGGAGCTCTTGTGATGTTCACGCGTGGACCCAGCCATCTCTTGCACCAAGAAAGAGAGTGGTATGGCACCTAAGCATATGAAAACATGTAGGCCATCAAGAACAGAAGTTTGTAAGATAACTCACTGTGGAATCACCACTCGCAACACCACCTTTTCCATCGACATCTAATCCTGACCTGTTGTAATGGTTTTTAGAAATGATCTTGGTTACAAAGTTATTACCTTGTCTGCAACGAACCTCCATCTGTTTCATAGATGACATCCTTGATAATCCAATTGTCTGGGTACGGCTTTCCACTCGGAGACAGTTGATAGCCAACCTGAATTTCACAACTCAATTTCCACAATAAGGTTTTCAAAGAGGACTAACCTCAGTCTTAAGATTGATACCATACATGCAAAACACATTTTTGATCGGCGGCCGCTCCCATGGAGTTAGTGGATTAAACAATGGATTATCCAAGTAGTATCTGAGAATTAGGAAGTAGTTTAGTAGGAAAAAACATCAGTCATACATACTTCTTGAGCTGATAGAAAGCCAGTTTAGCTTGAGGATCAAATTCACCCATCTCCTTGAAGCTTGTGCCATCCGATATTTTCTGAGCTGAATAAAACCGCTGGATAGGAACTGTGTAATTTGCTAGAGCTGCAAGGGCTCCGTTTTCGAAAGACTCACCAGGATAGAGCACCCCTGCCAAAGTGGACAAAAGTTGGATAAGGCATTAATAAGCCATTCGTTTGTTACCAGAAGGTGGCATGTCCACCTCAAGCACGTTGACAGGCCAGTCTGGAGCAACTAAGCCTTCGGTTTTGGTCGTATTCCTTTGAGACAGTGGTTTGTTGTCAGAAAACGGCAACATCCACAAACCGGAACTGAAAGTTCCAAGCATGATTCGAGCTGTACCCTATCAAAACGAAGTAAAAGTCAATGACGTTGCGAAGTTCCAACAGCTTTAACGAACCTCTGAAATTGGTAATCCAAAAGTCACCCCAGAAAGAACGCCTTTCAGAGCATCTGGAGCTCCTAGAAAAGGAGCACCTGCAAGAGATAGCATTGCTGGTAAGACGGTTCACAATCCGCCAATCTCACCTAGAGCATGATACGTGAAAATGTGATCGTCAATCCAAGTAGTGTACAGTTTGGGCGGTACTTCTTGTTTCAGCCATTCCAGAAAATATCTGAACACATTATTCCCAAGAGAATGCGCGAAAACGAGTGACGGCCCCCCTCGCAGCTTCCGAAGCGTCTCGAAAGTTAGCCTGGAATTAGAGATCAGAAAAACAAGAGGTGATTTTGAGAAGGAAAAACCTCAGCCTGTGGAAGTACAGATCTCGTTCTTCGAGAACTGGACCCGCCAATCTCCAGTCATAGGGTGCTGCGACAATGGACTCGGCGTCAACACCGAACTCTACACACCACGAAACCCACTCCTTCCATACAGAAGACAATGGTCCTGTGATATCCTAATTAACAAAACGAATAGAGAAAAAAAAGCCAACTTGGATACCTGTGAAATATCCAGGATCCATCTCGGTAATTGCAGAAACACCGCTGTCGGGACGAGATTTGCACTCGGGATGATCAGTCTGATTGTAAGGATCGAGCATCATGCACTTCATCCAACATTGTGGTACCGAGATAACCTGAAAAAGATTATTTTTTTCAGCTCCGCTGACTCAAACCAAAGCGGAAAAAGAGAAAGACAAACCTTTCGGAGGTCCAACCACACAGGATCCAGCGGGTTGAAATCGAGGGGCGAGAAGGGACAATCCAGCAGCGACCAGGACCTGAGCCTTGTGGAGGCAAAGCCGGGAATTATCACCCCCGAAAACTTTTGATCTCCGGAACGCCACAGCTTTGGATCAACACCTGCTGCTGATGCCGATTCCAACCCTAGACCAAGCAGCAGGATGATGCACCACCAAACTTGAGAAAGCGACTTGCTCTTGTTCATCTCCGAGCTGCTGTAGCTTCACCATAGATCGCAGTGCGTTAGCAGTGCGAAGTTGAAGAAATGGAAAGCCGCCCCAGCGCGTACGTTAAATAGACTCACGAGATGGTCAAAGCTTCTCGACGGCCAGTGCTGCTGCTGCTGCTCCTTCTGCCAAGCTGCTGCTGAAACTTCTATCATGACATACACTAAAGGATAAGCAAGACAGGGTCAAATCCGAGGAAGCTTACCGCGTTGCGTTATTCTTTCTCTGCACTCTACCACAAGCTCACTGGTTAGATAAAATAATAGCAATAGCACCATTTATGCTGTTGTCTCAGCTCCTAGACCATGATCCTCAAAGGTTTGAAACCCAACTTCCTTTCCCGATCCTGCTGATGCAGAGCTCTGTTCGAGATCGCAGCTGTCAGTGCTCAAATGGAAGCATTCCTGAAAGCCCCTGAAATATATTAAAAAATCCAGTGAGCTGAAATCGAGGGGCGAGAAGGGACAATACCAGGATCTCGTGCAGCCATTCATCAATCCCTGAATGCCAGAGATCTGTTCATTCTAGGACCTTGCAAAAAGGAGAGTAGTAAAAACGTTTTGAGGGACAACGCAGAAGAAGCTATAGTCGAATCTTCCCGACGGCTGAACCTTCCCACGACCAAAACACGGAAAGATTGGCAAAAACAGTCAAAATGAATCAAGCAGAAGCTCACTGTTTGCCAAGTCATTCTTCCCGTGTTTAATTTTGGCGGAACTTGTTGAAGTGACACCTGACAGAAATCCTCATTAGAAGAAACTGCAAACTTTCCTCACATAATGCTCACTGTTTTGCATCCCCGCTACTTATTTAATGGGGGTGAGCTGTGTTGCTGCCTCAGCTCCTGGATCATGATCTTGGCGTCGTCGGTGTTGCTTTCCTTGCTGAGTGCCTCGAAGACAACGTTGAAGGTGACGAGGTTTGGCTTGAATCCCTTCTCCAGCATCTCTCGCAGCAGCTGAAATCCCAGCTTCCCTTTCCCAAGCTTGCAAATCGTGCTGATAAGAGCTACGTACGAGATCGCATCCACCAGTCCCTCCTTTCTCATCTCAACGAGATACGCATGGGCATCTTGCATCCGTCCAGCTTTCAGGCACGCGTCGGTGATGCTAGTGTAAGTCCGGCCGTTGGGAAAGATACCCCTTGCCTTCATCTCCGCGAAGAGCTTGTTGGCTTCCTCAACTTTCCCGGCCTTGCAAAACCCGTCGACGACGGAGTTGTAAGTCACAACGTCCGGAATGCAGCCCCTGGTTGGCATCTCCACGAACAAATCCATCGCCTTGTCCATCATCCCGGCCTTGGCGAAGCGATTGATGAGCATGTTGTACGTGACGAGGTCGAAAGCGCAGCCGTTCTCGTGCATGAGATCCAGCACCTTCTGCGCCTGCTCGTCCATCTTCACCCGGAGCAGCGCGTCGATCACCACGGTGTAAGTCACGGACGTCGGGGTGTGGCCCTTGTCAACCATCTCCTCAAACAGCCGGAAGGCTCTCTCCACCCGGAACCTCCCGTTGCCTTTGCGGCATAGCCCATGGATGAGCGTGTTGTACGTGACGATATCCGTCGGACAGTCCCTGGCCTGCATCATCTCCACCAGGCCCTGCGCGTCCTCGAGCCTCCCGACTTTGCACAGCGCGTTGATGAGGATGTTGTACGTGTAGATGTCGGGAGCGCACGAAGTCGTCGCCATGGAGTGGAGCAAGTCGAGCGCCTCCTTCTCCTTCCCATGCTTGCACAGATGCGTGAGAATGATGTTGTAGAGCTTCGCGTTGGCTGGAACTTCCGCATTCTTCATGTGTTCCAGGAGTGCCAGAGCCTGCCTCGTCTCGCCATCCTCGCAGTAGCCGCGGACGATGGTCGAGTACGTGAAAGCATTCGCCTGGAACGAGCTCGGCTTGCTCTCGGCGATGAGCATCTGGTGCGCGCGCTTGTACTGCCGCTTGTTCACCAAGAACTCGAGAAGCCGGTTAAAGGCAAATGCCGTGTGCGTGTAGCCATGGCGGCCGTGGCACCACTCGAAGAACTGGATCGTCGCCTCCACGTCCCTGGCGTGGTTGAGCACGTCCACCACAATGTCCGTGCTGAGCTTGCCGCAGTACTCGCGGAGCTTGTGCTCGCGCACCTCCTCCATCTCTGTCTCGAGGATCTCCAGGAGCTCCTGTGCCTCGGCCGAGATCGCTAGTCGCCTAAACCTCGCCACTGCCGGAGACGCAATCGGCTTGTCCGCGATCCCTGGCTTGAAGGAGAGCTCCTCCAGCTTGATCTTTCCTGTTCCTCGATCGCCGCTGCTGCGCCCTGGCACTGGATTATGATCGATTCCCGCCATGGGATTCTCGCTGCTTGATTGAGCCGCATTCCCATCGTCGATTCGCTGCCGCAAGGCCGCGCTGGAATCGATCGTCCGGGAAAAGGAACAACTCACCGATTGGCACAGCGCGATGCCGGCTCGTCGCCTCACAGCAGCTTCCATGGATCACTCGTACAGATAAACCCTAAATTTCGATTGAGCCTACGTAGTTACAAACACAATCGAGGGAATTTCCTCTTCTTGGCGGTGGCGGAGGGAGGCGGCGGTGGCGATGGCGGCGGTGGCGGCGTTTGTGGTGGTGGCGGCGTCGGCGGTGGCGGGGAATGAAACACCTCGAGCGCCGACGAGCAGCTCGACTGCGGCGCATTTGCCCCGAGTGCCGCGATCATCCCAGACGGCAGCGCCGCTGCTGGCAAGGCCGGGAAGGGGGGATCAAAACGATCGTAGAATCGCAGAGGCGGCTGGTTCTTGATGCGCTCCATCTCGAATTGATACACCAAGTTCCCGCGCCTTCCCGGGCCGTAGAGCATCCGCTTGACGAGATAGAGGCCGTCGTAGCTGTAGAGCGTCTTGAATCGCCCAAACTCGGCGCCCAGGTAGCCCCGGATCAAGCGCACCGCCAGCTTGTTCTTCATCGAGTTCTCCAGCGCCACATTCCCGCCCTCGAGCTTCTGGTCCTCGGTGTTTCCTTTCTTGAATCCTCCCTGGCCCGAGTAGATCACCCTCTCGCCCGCGTCGCAATTGTCGCCATAGACGCTGCTACGCTTGAGCACAACCGCGATGGCCACGGGGACACCCGGCTCCCAGTCCATGGTGTCGATCCCCGCCACGGGCAAGCTATGGATGCCCATGATCTGCATCTCCGCGCGGCACGAGAACGTATCGCCCACCTCCACGCCCGGGATGCTGCCGATCTGGCGCTTCCTGTGGTGAAGGAAGTCTTCCCTCTTCTGGAACTGGGCGGCTACCGCGAGATCGGTCCGGCTCTTCTTTCGACGCCGGACGCCATGGGCGTCGCTGGGATCGCGGCCATCGCCACCATCGCCACTGCCCAGCAGCAATGTAGGCTGTTCCTGGAGTGCGTCGTGCGCCGCTACTGCTTCGTGGAACCTGTGGAAACGATCGAGTGATGGAGGATGGAAAGAAGTGGTTGCTCGCTCTTACCGCGCCTTCTGCTGCAAGAACTTGATTCTCATGGGATCGGGCTCCATGGGCTCGGACTTGACGATCGCCATGGTGATCGATGGCGATGACGCGCAAGAGAGCGCCGTTGCGGTTGCCTCGCCAAGGTCAGTCGCGGGGGAAAGCTCCGCATCGCCATGGCCGAGAGAAGAAGAAGAAGCCATCTCGCATGGAGGAATTTCTTGCTCCACTGCGCAAGAAGACGAAACCTCGGGCTGGACCTCTGCCGCCATCGCAGGGGATGAAATCTCTAGTGGTGAAACCTCTGCTGCTATGGTGGCCGGAGTCAAGGTGAGAGGTGGAATCCATACCGGATCATGGATCCCGAGCGAAGCCAAGAGATCAGTGCAGCTCGTTGCCAACCTCCTCAGCTCGGCGTCATCGCGAAGCTCCCACATTCTCTCGTACTGTTCTTGCGTACTGCAATACTGCCAAGTAAAAATGTATTTATTAGCGGAGGGTCTCAAGATTCTCTCTCGTTTTAAAGAAAACAAATTACACTGCGAGATTTAACACTTGGACGCCTCTTCCCGCTACAGTAATGCGATACGAGCTCCTGCCAAGAGAGAAACGAGCGAAAGTGGTTAGAACCAGCTAATGATTGATCCAGTTTTTCGAGCTCACTCGCTTGATCGATGAGCATCGATCGACTCGGTCTCAGGAACGTCGATGATGCAGCTACACGAGTGTGTCAATCGATTGTCTTGGGCGATTTGCCAGCACCTCACTCGTTGATCAAGGCCAGTGCTGAAAATCCACTCGGAATCGCTCCACACCCCTGTAGCGTCAAGCCAAAAAAGAAAAAAACAATGTACCGAGGATTTTCAAAAAGAGAAAAGAGTCCTTGCCTTTCACTGCGGAGCTGTGCGCATTGGCAACGTTTTGACGGCTGAGGACACGGATAGTACTCCCAGCGCCTATCAGCACGCAAAACCAGTAGCCAGTGTGTGTGAGAAGTAAAACACAAAAGGATAAGAGTACCTTCTTGCATGGACAGCACGGAGGAGTGAAGAGACTGATCATCTCCACCACTCACGATCGACAATGTGGAAGACGAGGTGGCGCACACGTATAGAGAATTGACGCCGGATTGGTGACAGCAACTTAGCACGAGTACGGGACTTAGTACTGCTGCGTCTTGGGAGAGATCAGGCGAGGACTGCGGATCTTTGAGGATTTGCTGCTGCGAGGGATGGCGCTGATGATTCAAGCGTCGGCGGGCTTTACCACCCTGGCTTCCTCTCCCGGAGAGAGGCCGCAAGCCTTGGGCTTTTTCTCTCTCACCAACGGTGAAGCTAGCGACTGAATTTGTAAGATCCCAGACGGCAATACTTCCGTCTGTGCAGCCACTGAATACGAAAAATCTGTTCGCCAGTGTTCCTGACCATGAGCATTGATAAGAACAGCTAATGGCATGTGAAAGAAAGACGAATTACCTTGCGAGAAGCAAGGGAGGACTGCGTGATGCAGGGTCAAAACTGGACATTTGTGATGCTGGAGAACTGCGATACGAGACCTGGAACTTGTCTGAAGTGAAAAACATGCAGGGAAGTCATATAGAAGGAAACGTACCACGTTTTGCTGGATGAGTCGAACGCCTTGACAGTAAGGATGGCATTCGACATGGCAGCCACCACAAAATAAACTGGAACGCCATCCGACTCAACAGCAAAAACTGTCAGTGCCATATACCGCAAGTCATCCTTGTTTACGCCGCTTTTCTTGCTGAAAGTCGAGTGAGTACTGAGCCATCGTGCCGATATTTGTTCTGGCTTGTCGAAGAGTTCCCAACACGTCAAAACTTCCTTTGCACCAGCAGAGAACAGAACTGCATGCTGCATGTCGTCGATCCCGCTCGCTTCAGTCTTGCTATTGTACACACGGGTCGACAAAGCTAGTGCACGAACCGCAGAGCCACCAACGTGTTCTTCCAATGATGCGAACACTGTTAAGTCCTCCTGAGCATACCTGTACGGCATGGAGCTTGGTTAACAAGTATATGGATGATGTCTATAGCATTTACCTTGAAATCTGAACTCTTCCATCTTCGGAACCAGAGAAGAGCCAGTCCGTGTCAGGAAAAAATAAAATCGAGTGGACCTCTCTCCCATGCGATTGTTTTTGCAGCGCTTGCAGGGGATGCCCTTTACTCGAATCATCACTATCGTCCCAATTGCGGCAAATACATATGGTTTGTTCCTGAAAAGTTATGTGAGTTCCGAAGTAGTGAAGTATATAAGCTTGACCTTCACAAAAGCAAAACAAAATTGAGTCTCCGGAAGTTCTCCAACAAAAGATGAATGTGGTCGCTTCCATCCACCGCAAGATATTCTTTTCAACTGCCAGTTATCTATTAGATGATAAGATAGAAAGACGTTATTTTACCTCGACCTCGTTGGTGATATCCCATAACACAAAGTCTGCCGCTGAAAATCCTAGACCAATCCTTCGTTTTGATCCAGATAGGCATAGAACTGATTCCAAGACCGTTATTGCAGCAATCTTCTCGACTCGGTGGCAGGAAAGTACCGACGATAGCTGACCACGTTGGTAGAATACTTCGCAAACACATCCATCTCTTCCTGTCTGTACACACAGCGCAAAGTTTCACTGCCTATTCTAAATATGTATATAGCCTTACTGATATTGTCTTGGTTCCTTCGTTTGAGAACTCGGATATTGACACATTAGCAACGGCAGATATGCCGTGCGCACCTCTGAATGAATCGAGCTCCTCAACAACAGCGGGATCTTCCATCTCGAATAAGACTGAATCAAAATGAAAGAATAGTAAGCTTCCTTTTTGATCGCCACATACGAGCACCTGTTTTAAGTGTCAGTAAATAATAGAAGCCTCAAATTGCAGAACTTGCCTGCTTTTCTAAGGACGCGTCCATGCATACAATTCGACTTGACAAGGAGGACTTGAAGTATGCCAAATGCCGCGGTCCCTCGCTAGTTTCGCCATTCATAGCCCAGCAACGAACTCCTCCTTTCGGATCTGTTGTAAAAACGAATCTAGATGCATAGCATGATCAATGTCACACATTAGGATATGCTTACCGTGAACCAAGAGATTTACACCAGAAAGCTCCCAAGAGCTGTCTTTCTGCTTCAGCTATCCATGTTGATTGCCAGGCTATCTGCCCCTCGGAAGTGATCCTTAAGACCGTCGCCCGACCCTGGCCGCCACCACAGGCAACTAAAACCTCTTTACTGGGACATCCTTCAGGAGTTACGAGCTGTTCTTTGAAAATATCCAAGCAAACAAGAGGACTTCTTTCAGGTGTCTGTAGTATCGAGACCTGTTTCACGTCCCCAGATGGCAAGAGACTGGCGCGTTGTAGCAATCCCTGATTTGTTGCTATGAACAGGGACGACGGTCCTTCAAAACATAAACACCGGACATATTCGCTCCTACTGCGGAAAAGTGTGAGGTCACGTACAGGAGAAAAAAAAGGTAACTTTACCTGTCTAAAAAACCATCATTCTTGCCAGTGTCTATCCGGTACATTACCATCTCTTTAGCAGTCGTAGGAATTAGAGCTCTTTCCGACAGAGAATACAGCTTAATGGAAGAATCAGCTCCTGCAGTTACTAGCATAGACAGCTGACGATCAAATATGCAACGCCATATCCCACGACCTCTGCATTGTTCACGATCAAAAGCTGATCACAGACAAACGAGAGCATACTTACGTGTGCCCCTTCAGCGTCCTCAAAAGCTCCCCACTCAAAGACCAGACTCCGCATGTACAGTCCTCACTTGCTGTTATGAACATCTATATAAACCCAAGGAAACAACATAAGATAAAAGAAAGAGCTTTTGTACAGATCGCAAGCACTGCAAACCTTTGCATCTATATGGAGATCCCAAACACGAGCAGTATGGCCGAATAAAACAATGACAGCTTTTGTCTGAAGATTCCATATTCGAGCACTGCTTAGAGGATCAGCTAAATTCAGCTTGAAATGCAAGAAAGAATATTAAATCAAACCTTCTGTCATCTGATACCGAACCGAGGAAGCATCCATCTGTCGACCAAGTGATACGATAAATAGAACCCTCGTGTCCGCACAGTCTATGGACGATCTTGGCTTCACAGGTGCTCCCCTTGCCTCCTAACGCCCAAACAAGAACCTGACGGCAATTCAGGATTATATAAAACCGATCCAAGTACGTAAGATATCCATACCTCATTGTAGATTGTCCCAGCAGCGACTTGCAAACTCTGAATGGAATCACCACAAAGCCTCATAGAATACAATAAGCACCTTTCTATTTAGCAATGCAATCAAAGTTCACAAAGCTTGAGAGAATATACAAACTTACCAGGACAGTGGAAGTTGGAGACTATCTTCTTGGCGGAAGTGTCCCAAAGACACACGGTATTGTCACTTAAACCGATTGCTAGAACCACATTATGGCCATCATCCTGAAAGAAAAAAAGAAAAAAATACAAAAAATGAGAAAAATGCTTCTACTGCCTTGCTTACCTTTGTGAAGATTTGGACATCGAGAATCCACTTGGAAAACCTCGGAACGAATTGCCAGGGCTCCAGACCCTCGGAGCTCAATCGAAAGAGCTTCGCCTTTCCTTCTCCGTGAACAGCAACGATCGCCGGAGGCAATGCGCTCGACTCCACCGCGGCAGCAACGATTCCATGGACGCGGATTCCATCAAAGACGTGCACAGACGGGAAATATCGCGCTCCCATCTCGAGATTGTAGCAATCCAGCTGCGCTCCGGTGCCTGGCAGGCAATGCTGAGACCGCAAAGAATCCACAATGCGAGCGCTTACCCGCAAGAACAGCCCTGGACGGAAGCGCCGCGAAGCACAGCGCTGTGACATCGCCGATGTATGGGCCCTTCTCGAGCGCCATTGGCAATAAAACCTCCCACCAGACAATATTTCTAGGGTTCTAGAAAGTGAAGTTTTAGGGCATTTGACGATGAGCAGCATTGGCACTGGGGTAAGCGTCTTGGATTTGGATCCAGTCCTCTCTCTTATTTCGTCTCTCCAGTATGATCTATCGGTGACGACCTTCTCGCCGGATGGCCGAGTGTTCCAGACCGAGTATGCGAGCAAGGCGGTCGACAATAGCGGGTAAGTTTGTTGCTGCTCTAGTCATTTTCTTAGTGGATTTGTGATCTAGGACCGCTATCGGAGTTACTTGCAAGGACGGGGTAGTATTGGTATGTGCTCCTTGGGAAAAAATGCATTAGTACAGCGATTTTATTTTATTTTTCTTGCAGGGAATAGAGAAGCTAACTCCATCTAAGATGCTCGTCGAGGGATCGAACAAGAGAATACATCATGTTCACGAGCACGCTGGAATGGTGCGATCATTTTTCTACTTCTTTTGGTTTACTTACGTTTCCTTTCGTTAGGCGGTGGCCGGGCTTGCAGCCGATGGACGCCAGGTCGTTGCTCGTGCTAGAGCGGAGGCAAAGAACTACCTGAGGTGATTGAATTGCTATCTTAGATGGATTATACTCTAGCATTTGCGAAAACTCTTTTCTTTCAGTTTCTATGGCGAAGAGATTCCCACGAGTCATCTCTGCGAGCGAGTTGCGAGCTACGTACACTTGTGTACACTTTATTGGTGGCTGAGGTACTTCAAATTCTTCCTTTATCCGTTCTTTGCGGCTTCATCGACATGCTTACTGTGCAGGCCGTTCGGCACTGGAGTAATACTTGGCGGGTACGACAGAGATGGGCCGCAACTTTACATGATTGAACCTTCCGGTGTTTCGTATGTAAGTGTGCTGGTTTTAGCGAGGATCAAGCACTGATTTTCCCCATGCAGCGCTATTTCGGTGCAGCGATTGGCAAGGGGCGGCAAGCTGCGAAAACGTAAGAAAGATTTCTCAAACAAGCACCGTGACTGTCGATCTAACTTTGCTTGTTGCATCTCACAGTGAGATCGAGAAGCTAAAGCTGTCCGAGATGACTTGCAAAGAGGCTGTTTTCGCCGTTGCCAAGATGTAAGTTTTTTGGTTTCCTCCCTGTTGGATGGATTCTTTGAACTTCCTTCCACCTGTGAAAACTAAACAGCATCTACGGAGTTCACGACGAAGCCAAGGACAAAGCCTTTGAACTGGAAATGAGCTGGATTTGCGACGAGTCGAACAAGGAGCACCAAAAGGTCTTGCCATCGCACTCTCGCTACGTACTAGTCCCTCGTATTTTCTAATGCTTGTTTTGCTTTCCAGGTGCCTGCAAACCTCCTAGAAGAGGCCAAAGCCGCTGCCAAAGCCGCACAAGAGGAAGATATGGATGCCGATTAATATATCCCAGACTGACCAGTAGTAGCGACTGGAATCTCGATCACAGTGAGTAAAACGTTTGTTGCCATTCAATCCCATCCAATTCAGCCAGGACAACAGACCTTTTTGCATTAAGAAAATACTCGGTTCTCCCAGTACGGCCTGGAGAAACAATCACATTCTTTCGTACTTTGTGAGTGCTGAGAAAGTGGAAGCGCTCCAGTCGTACGTGTCGCAAGACGCCTGCTAGCATTCGTGTGTCGACACTCGCAAGGAATATAAACATGGTGTTCCGTACACAGTATGGGGCCCAGGGTATGCGTACGGCATGGCAGCGATCGCCCGGATTTGTAAGCTTGCGTTGCATGGGTTCCTTTAGTTTTTAGGTAGGAGGGTTTTGTGCGCCCCTGGCTCGAAATATTCTCGTCATTCCATCGGAGTGATCGATCGAGATCGAGAGAGTGAGTGATCGATCGAGATCGATCGAGCGAGGGAGCGCGATCCTACTGTCGCGATCGATCAGGCGGCAGCGCTTTCTATTTGATTGCCGCCCATTGCCGCGCGTGAGAAGGCGATCGAGAAGGGGGATGGACAATGTGCCCTTGCTCCAGGGATTCCAGGAGCGGCGCGAATGCTGTGGCCGATTCGGGAGCTGCAAGGTCGACAGCGGCGGCAATGGCGATCGCGATGTCGATCTGGAGCGGCAGCAGCACACGGTGATTTGCAAGCTTTCCAGGTTCCAATACTACGATATGCTCACGGAGGAGGCATTCGAGGACTCATCGTCGCCTCATCAAAATCACGGTATGCCTTCCACTCCCTTTTCTTTCTATTTGCTTGTGTGGATGTTAGTTTCCTTTGATCGATCGATGTTAGTTTCCTTGCTGGATTGTATAGAGTTCCCTTTGATCGATCGATGTTAGTTTCCTTGCTGGATTGTATGGAGTTCCCTTTGATCGATCGATACCTCGGCATTGGAAATGCCGAGAAGTCAATTCCTTTGCAGATGTGTGTTTGGGATTCGTGCAGCGATCTCTATTCTTTCTTTCTTTTTTCTTGTGGTTTCTATTTTTTTGCTTGCATGGTGTTTGATACTGGCAAAGATGGTGGTGGTCCTATACGACAGCTTGGACAGCTGATTGAGGCCAGGACTGTGTGTGTAGTCGAGGCTTTACCCACCCGTTGACATTAGAGCTTGGAAGATTCATATTACTTTGAGAGGAAGGTTTAAGAAAAGGAAAAGGAGAGGACTCAGATCCAACGGCGAGAACCCTGATACGTGGGTGACTTAGAGTCGTTTATCGGTATTTGCTACAGTCGTAGCTTGTTTGCGAGAGATGGAAGAGCAAGAGGTGGTGCTCGCGACGCCTCTGATGAAAAATGAGAGTGGGGAAGGACCGAGCAGAACATACAGTGGCGAGGGGTTCTCGGCTCTCAGGCAGCTTTCTGGAAAGCGGCAATTCAAGGTGGTCAGGTCCTTTCAGGAAGGGGCTTTTGACGCGAGCATCGGCCATGGAGGTTTTTTTTTTCTTTGCCTGTTTTTTGAATGCTTCGTCGATCGCTCTGTTTGTGTGTTCTGACTGGTTTTGTTTTGTTTCTTCGGTTTCTGATTTTTTCTTGTTTGTTTTATTGGCAGGAATCCGTGAGTATAACAAGAAGCAGCGCGAAGCGCTTGCTATGTTTGAAGAGGTTGATGCGCTGAGTCATCTGGGACAAGGACTGAGAGACGATGGTAAATCGAGTGCTGATCGGGAAGCTCTGGCTGTTAACTGCTCCAATCTGTGGAACGTCATACTTCTTGCTTTGAAGGTTTGCTTCTTTTAAAGGTTCAAGCATTTCAGTTCCTGCGTTTTTCTTCCAGGTATATGCAACAGTAGCAAGTGGTTCTCTGGCAATCGCGGCCTCGACACTAGATTCTCTCCTTGACTTGTTGGCTGGCGGCATTCTTTGGTTCACCCAATGGACAATGAAAAGGACGGACATTTACAACTATCCCATCGGGAAGCTGAGAGTTCAACCAGTTGGCATTGTGGTTTTCGCGGCTGTTATGGCAACTCTTGGTAAGTTTTTCTGTCGTTGTGAACTGGCATTAAAAAGGTAATGCAATGCAGGCCTCCAGGTGCTTATAGAAGGCGTGAGACAGCTTCTCGACGGGAAGCCCAAAACTCACCTAGATATGTCACAGTCGATATGGATGATAGCGATCATGGGAACAGCCATCGTCGTCAAGCTGGGACTCTTTCTGTACTGCCGGAGCTTCAAGGACGAGATAATTCTCGCGTATGCAATGGTAACAAGTTCTTTTTGCGCTGGTTTTCTCGGTACTTACGAGAATTCACCTCAACAGGATCACCAGTTCGACGTGATCACGAACGTGGTTGGCTTAGCGGCAGCTCTACTTGCTGATCGCTTCTACTGGTGGCTGGATCCCATTGGTGCTGTAGCTCTGGCGATCTACACCATTGTCAATTGGTCCAAGACGGTTTTCGAGAATGCAGGTAATTGCTCTCCTATGCTACTTCACAAAGGTTCATTGTCTTAGTTCATTCACAGTGTCGTTGATCGGAAAGTCGGCACCACCGGAAGTCCTCCAGAAGCTGACTTACATGGCTTTCAATCACCACCGTGACATCCAACACATTGACACGGTCCGCGCTTACACATTTGGAGCTCTCTTCTTCGTTGAGGTTGGTCTCTCCTTTCCTAGCGAAGATTATCTCGTCTCAAGATATCGTCTCCTTTCACAGGTTGATATCCAACTTCCAGAGACGATGCCACTGAAAGAAGCTCACGACATTGGCCAATCTCTGCAAGACAAGATCGAAGCTCTCGCAGAAGTAGAGCGTGCTTTCGTCCACCTCGATTTCGAGTGCACGCACAAACCAGAGCACCAAAAGAGCCACTTCATCACAGACGTGTAAAATAGACAGAGGCGGTTCGGAGAAAGGAATCGAACCTGGAACCCCCTTGCGCTAGAGAATAAAGTTTAATTATCCTGTTTCTAGGGTTAGGGCTCCTTGCGAGCAGAGGAAATTCTGGAGGATGGGACGGAAGTCCGAGGCCAGATCGGCCGTGGCGGTGAAGGTATGGGAGATTGTGAGCTTAGAGCGAGCGGTGTGAGGAGCGATGAAGAATTCGGCAGATTCTGAGGTCCCCCAGTCGCCGCGCTTGAGCTGATCGAGCAAGGAATTCGTTGTGAAGTGATCTTCGTTTTCGGTTTGTAGGAAGGGAATGCGGCACCCGGAGACGAAGATTACGAGCTGCTCTACTCCAAGGATTATGTTGCGATCCATCCGAGCTGGAACGAGAGAATCAATGGCCAGCTGCGGCTCATCAAGCAGGGATTCTCGGTTTTCATGGTAAATGTATCATAGAAATCGTGATCCGGGGGTCTAAGCTCTTCTCTCTCTTTTTTTTTCATGCTTAGTCGTGGATGCCTTCCAGCGATCCAGGAAGGAAACAACGAGGGCCGAGTTTTGAGAGAGGTAAGCCAGTGACTTCTCATACGATGCTCCTTTAAGTTGACTTTTCTCCCAGATAGAAGTCTGTACACTATCCGGGCTGTTGCTCTGGAAGAGATGAAGTCTATAAGACGGCACACGCCTCCTTTCGGCTGGCAGTACATCATCGTTGTTTTAAACAGTGGTATGTTACTTCTTCTTCCCTTAGATCTCTGTTGTGACTCATTTACGATGGCTGCAGGACTGGCTTTTCCGCCCCTGTACTTTCACAATGGCGGTGTCCGTGAGTTTCTGGGAACTTTGCGGGAGTATTCGCAGCTTGGGAGGTTTGTAGACCTGTGTCTCCTTTCTACTGCGCACTCAAGTTGTTTGTGCAGGGCTGGTGACGATCCAAATGTGTATCTTGTGAATGACATCCAAGATCCATTGCAGGTTTGCCGTGCTGGTTTTCTTTACTATAATCGTTGATTATGTCTCCTGCAGAAAAGTCTTTCGTCATTGGAACTCGCAGATGTTCCTCGGGCGTCACTCATGCCAATATCCAGAGCCACGAAAACTGAGATTATGGAGGACAAGCCACAACGCTCAGAAGATGATTCGACTAGCAATGACAATGTTCAACGACCTCCCAGGCATAGAGATCCGAACTTCTCTCTTCAAGTTCTGGAAAAGTTTTCAATGGTTACAAAGTTCGCCCGTGACACTACCACCCAGCTCATGAATGGTCTAGAAACCTTAAACGTGGAAAACGCGAAGCGACCTAGCACGCTGACGATGGAAGCTGTGCCGGAGAGGATAGTTTCTTTTCAAGAAGCAGCAGCAACCTCAGAGGTTAGTTTCACTACATTCCACCTTCATCCTCTATGTGTGGTGCTTCAAGTTTTTAATAGCTGCTTAAGCATATAGTGTTAACTTTCTGCAGCAAGGTGAGAATGGAGAAGCATCCACTAACGTGGGCAGCTTTGAGCTTGTGGATGGCACTCAGGTACTCGACTTTAACTCTAAATGGTTTTCTAGAAATCCGTCCCTGTCCTGTGTAAAAGTGCCTTGTATTCTTCGGTTTCCTAACTTAGTCAATGCATGCAGGAGGATGAGCTGCCAGATATTATGGCGGCAAGAGAACCACCCTTGGGTAAATCGGAGGTATGTTTTATAATGTCATTCTTTTCATCCTGTATTCACTAGCTATGTTCCAGTGGAATTCTTTTCTGGATGGCGAAGGGCGTGTTACTAATCCAAACGAGTTGAAGAAGAGAATCTTTCGAGGAGGAGTAGAACCGTCTATGCGACCTTTGGTAGATATTGATTCCGCATTAGTTTCTCCAGTCATTTGTTTTATTTCTTTTTGCAGGTTTGGAAGTTCTTGCTTGAGTTCTTCTCTTTTGATTCAACGTCTAAAGAGAGAGATGCTCTGTTAGTGAAGAGAAGAGAAGAATACCGCGTTTTGAAGGCACAATGGCAGGTACCAAACGTTCTTTTTTGTTGGTCCTTTTTTCATAGACTTCTCTCTGGTTTCTTAGAGTGTCTCAATTGAGCAGGCAAAGCGGTTCAGCAAGTTCCGAGAACGCAAGAGTCGCATTGAGAAGGATGTGGTATGTCAATACGATTGGCGTGCAATGTAACCATCTTCTGTTACTCCTTGTATAGGTACGAACTGATCGAGCAACAGAATTCTATGGTGGAGACGACAATCCCAACGTCGACATGCTCCGAGATATTCTAATCACCTATTCTTTTTACAACTTTGATCTGGGCTACTGTCAGGTATGCAAGCACGTAGCACGAGCTGTTAAATAACCCACTGTTTTCTTACAGGGGATGAGCGATCTGCTATCACCAATTCTTTTTGTAATGCGAGACGAAGAGGAAGCATTCTGGAGCTTTGCATCTCTCATGGAACGACTGGGTCCGAATTTCCACCGTGATCAAAATGGCATGCACTCTCAGCTTCTGGCTCTTTCGAAGGTACTCGCATCCTCTCCTCCCGGGGTTTTAATTTAGTTGTATGTGCAGTTGGTGCAGCTTCTAGATCCCCCACTGCAAGAATACTTCGGCCAAGTGGAGTGCTTGAACTACTTTTTCTGCTTCCGCTGGATACTGATACAATTCAAAAGGTGAGCTTATCGTTTTTCCCGTCTGCTCCAGCGTAACGTTTTCTTGTCCAGGGAGTTCGTGTATGACGACGTCCTGGCGCTGTGGGAGGTGCTTTGGACGAGACACATGTCAGAGCACTTCCACCTCTACATCTGCGTCGCGCTGCTCAAGCGACACCGCAGGAAGATCATGGACGAGCACATGGTATTCGATACGCTGCTCAAGTTCATCAACGAGCTGAGCGGCCACATCAACCTGGTGTCAACGCTGCACGGCGCGGAAACGCTGTGCAGACTGGCTGGCGATGCCGGTGCCGCGTGCATACCTCCAGGAACGCCCCCGGCTCTGTCTCGCGACCCTGGTGCCGCGTGCATCATACCTCCAGGAACGCCCCCGGCTTTACTAGTAGCCCCCGCTCAGTCGTAAGTAGCTCGCTCGGCTCGGCTCGGCTCGACGAGAGATAGATTGCGAGGGAGAAGGGGTATGTAAATACATCGTCCGTCTTATACATGCGTTTTCCTTGTTTTTGTTTCAGCACAGATGTTTCTAAACAAGATCGTTGCATCCAGATTTGTCCCCGTAGCTCCTGGTATCGGTGGGACACTGGCAAGTGAAGCGAAAGAGAGAGGAAGAGTTTTTTTGCGAGAAAGCTTTGGAGCAACTTACCGTGAATTGCAGCGATGGTGGACACTTTCGGACGACGTCGTAGCAGAGATCGAAGCAGGGGTTGACGACGTAATCCGGCGACGTTCCTCCGTATCCCCAGATGAGGTCGGCCTTCATGCCGGCTTTGGGATTGGTGGTGGCGTTCTTCCTGGGTATGCTGAAGTGAAAGGGGTAAGGTATGCATTTGGGGAACTGGATCGCACACATCTGGATCAAGGAAAAAACGAATGTGAAGAACACAAGGCTTTCGTTTCCGTTTTTTTTTCCTTTCTTTCTTTACCCAGGTTGTGTATGCCGCGATGCAATCGTTGCAGGTCCATAGAGTGACGTCGCGGCAGTTCCCCAAAGAGAGAAGATCCTGCCATAGTTTTTCTCGTCTTTCTTTCATCGGCAATGTGAGAGTTCCGTGTTTGTTACCTTGAGACGATCGACTTGGCACTTTGCGTAGTTGTCCTCCTTTTTGCCGACGGCCAAGCCGCCCAGTCCAGCGCCAATCTCATTCCTGGTCTGGTAGGTAATTCCCAGTGGCGAAATCACATCTAAGAGAAGAACAAGGAGGTGGTAAACGTTTTCTATGGCCACCATTCTCCAAAGACGAGAGAGTTACCCACTGTAGCAAAACCACGTCGGGTCCGTCGCCACGTTGGTCGTCTGGCAGCTCCAATAAGCAGTGTCACAGCTCTCCTGAATCAATCACGAATGAATCAATCCGCCAGGGAGGGATCCAATCCAACCCAGGTCCAGAGAAAAGAATCCAATCCACCTGCGTGTAGTCGTAAATGTAGTCCCCATTGCTATCTGTGACGGGCATAGCGGTGCACGGCGACGTCGGACCAGTGCCGCAATCCGGCGAGAGGATCACCTGCGCAAGCTGCGCCTTGGCTAGCCCAAGAAGCGCTGTGTGTAGATAGAATGGTATAGATTAGAATCGAGGAGAACCGACAGATTCTCTTACTCGAGAGCCCAGCCAGCAAAATCCATGCCGCAGTAGCCTCCATTGTCCGCGAGGAAGAAGAAGGGGGAAACTTTTGAAAGATCAAAGGGCGGTTGACCTAATAAAATTAACGGGTGGATCCTCTGCTACGTGTCCATCTATTTCTATGCCACGTGCCTTCCATATCCGCCGTTTATGGAAAAAAAGAAGGGATTTTACATTGACAAAATCTTGCCTGTCTCGCTGGCCGGCTTGTTTTTTTTTCTTTTACTCTCTGTTTCACTGCGGCACATCGTTGCCAAATCTTTGAGCGAGAAATGCGTCTAAATCTTTGCCTGCGTTGCCTTGTGCTGGGTCGATTGGATCCGATGGGAGCCCCCGGATGCAAGCTAGAATGTGGCTCACGTCGCGGTATAGCCTGGAAATAAAAAGACCATCAATCCAAGAGACGATCCAAACACTATAATACCACCTTCGGTCTCCTTGAGGAGTCGATACTTCCAGGCTCGAGAACGTTTCCGTGAGTTGGGTGTGGAATATCAACACCACCCGGCTGAAAGAGAGACATCGAAGGTTAGATAGAACAGCCAAAGAGAAAAACGAAAGAGGATGGATACGTAACGAGAAAATGGAGCGAAGGTCGTCCTCGAGCAGTAGCGGCGACAGCACCCTGTGCAAGACTCCCACCTCCTTAGTGAGAGTCCGAGCAAACTGGCTGGGCTGTGCGTCTGCGTCGTCGGGAGCGGCTTTGTTCCATCCTTCCACGACCTGTGGTAGAATTCTTAGATGTACCTGGAGCCTCTCTTTCATGATTTGTACGAGCTTTGTGTGGATCTCTTCCCTGTGGACTTTATAATCCTGCGATAACAAAAAGAGTACTCGTGTTAGGAGATGAGGAGGAGCCGAGCTCTACCTGAGCAATCCGATCCAGCTCGTTTAGCAACAAGGCCTTTCTCGGGTCCGGAATAAACACAGACAGTACTTTCTTCATCTCTACACAGAGAAAAACTTAGCGAGAGATTGACAACAGACATTGTTGGTACGAACCAGGAATGAGCACGTGGAAGAAAGTGATCGTCTGGCTCGCCAGTGCCAAATGCTTGGCAGTGATGGATTTCAACCCCGAAACCTGCGTAAAAGAACTTGTCAACCTTGCTTCAATCGATCACGTAAACTACCTGAAGAGCGCCAGCTCCTAGTACTAGTTGGCAAGCGCGAGAATTAAAGACCTTCAAAATTTCGGCAACACGATGAACCACCTCCGCTGCTAAGGCCGGCAGGGCGTTGCTCAACTCCACATACTCGGCAATCATTTTCAGAAGAATCAAGCCACTGCAGTTCGAACAGAAAATTAGCTCGCGTCTACCACATCTTTCCACGTACCTGTTTACCGTATGGTAGCCTATTTGCCCGATTCGAATTGTCTTTATAGACTTTTCCCGGAGCTTCTTATCCACGGTAGTCACTGTGCTGGAGTCCGTCTCCAACTTCTCATCATGTGGCGCAATACTGCCTCCATTTTCAACTGGTTGACACTCGCCATTAGCCTCAGAATGACTCTCGGCTTCCCCATTCTCAAGCGAATCGTCAAAAATAAAAACTTTGTCGACGATTTCTTGAAACTCGTCAGGAATATCAACTGCAACCCATGTTTCTTGATCTAACACCGCGGTGATCTTGGTTATCTGGAACACATTATAGTGAGACATTTACATTTGTGGAAGTAGCTTACCCGAAGTATGTGCTGAGAATCAACAAAGGACTTGGACTGAGACTGCAGGGTGCCACGAATGCTGTATCCCAACCGACCTCCCACCTGAGAAAGGCAAGTTCGCAAGAACTTTACATGCTTCTTCAAAGTTTACCTTTTCAGTAGCAGCGATGAATTCCTGTGTCACGTCGTGAATGCTTACAAACTCTTGTAACCGTAGCTTTGGATGAACAGGTGCCCGAACACCAAGTAGCTTGACCCAGCGACCATGGGCAGCATCGCATGCAGCCCACAGTGCTTCGGTGTTTTCGCGCAACACATCCGCCCTTGAAAGCAAAGGTTAGAGGCCAGGCAGATTTCTCAATAAAAAAAGTACCTGAACTGCTTAGATATACTTGAAAGTTGAACCCCTCTTCCTCTTAAATTAAGAGGATCGCTATCTGTAACAATTTGCGCCAAGGATCCTTGCGGTTCTACTTCTTCTGCAGCTTCAGCAGCGGCGACAGCAGCGGCGACGGCAGCGGCACCAGAAGCAAATGCTGCGGCAACAGCTTCGGCGGCAGACGTTCCTTGTAGGCCGCTTACAATTTGCTCCACTAATTGTCGAATTTTGGCAGCTCTCACCAAGCGCGTCTGTGACGCCCATGTTAGACAAACGGAAGGCTTAGAACTCCTCCAACCTGAATGATTTTGAATACTGCGACAAGGAGTTGTACGAAGGCATCCGGAGAAAGACTTCGCAATTTTGCAGCAAGGTTTAGTCCGGAAACTGCCACAAGAAATTAACTGGAACATCAGATGATGCATGAAGGTTATTTACGTACCATCTATTTCGGTTTGCTTCTCTGTTGCAGGAGAATCACCAGAAGACCGATTCAAAAGAATTGGAAGGCATTCAGCTACTACGGTTTTGATTGCAGACTTGACATCTGTGGTTAATGTGTCCTTGTAAACCTTCAAAACGGCGGGTAGCTTTGACTGCCATCGCACGTAAATCAAACATGAGCTTTTGCCATTAGAAACGATAGAACCTACTGTTCTCAATAGGCCGATTACAAATGGTACAAGCAGCTCGCGAAGGTTGGTTTCCTCCTCTTCGTTGACTTGCACCTGAGAAAATCGGTAAGTAATTTGACAGACTTCATATCAACAACTCACCTCTACAGACATGCTGTAAAGCTTGTCTTTCATGTTAAGAGATGAGATAATCACTGAAGAGTTGAGATCTTTGGAGTTATGTATGGCAATTCTTACAAAATCAGCTGCTAGCATGCTGCCAAAGGAGAAGGTGCGAACGTCAACATCATAACTAACCCTTCAAGACCTTACTTGTTTACAGAATCCGTCGATGCTGCCAGTTGATCTCCCAGATGCCGGAAGCAATGCATTCCAGCAAGCTCATCGCCTTCCTACACCAAAGAAGTAAAGTCAATCGAAAGTGCTCGATAACCCTGCAGCACATACTCACAAGCAATTGTTGCAGCTCGTCTATGACATCCAAGGCACCGCCACAATCTGCAGTAGCAACAAGCTGCTCAATAAGAAAACAAGATTAGACTTGCATTGTCGTCAACGTCTAAAGGCAAAAGGAGGGAGAGATCCTTACAATTCGTAGCGCAGAGACCGCTTGGTTGACGTAAGTCATGAGCTTCAGCTTGTCGTGCAGCGCTAGAACATTCTCCCTTTGCCGGCTGAGTGTGTGAACTTGGGTGGCAGAGCCCACGAGATCGTTCTCCAGCAAACGCACGGTCGATTTGAGCTCTTTCATCTGCTGGCAGGCTTCCAGCATCCTCTCATTGAGATCCTCGAGCTGCTTCTGGGCCTCGAAGAACGACTCGGACCTGGCAGAGATCTCCTTGACAAGATGAACTTCCACCACGTCCAGGTACTGCGTCAGCCTCTCCTGGAGCATTATATTCTGTGGGATGGTCGAGAAGGGACAGGCCGCCTGGAACGTCGATCCCCTCTCCAGCGCAAAGTCTTCGTCGAAGAACATGTTTGGGATCTCTCGAAGGCAAGCCGCGAGCCCTTCTCCTCCTTTAAGTCCCATTTCCCCGCTGGAAGAAGAAGAAGTGCTCGGCCCATCCTCCTCGAGAAAGAAATGCTCCTGGACGTCCACGAAGCGGCTGTATGGCTCCGAGATGGATTCCACGTACGCACGGAAATCTGCCTCTGGGAGGAGGGATTTCGATGCCGGGGGAGCCGCGGCGTCGATGGAAGAGGAAGGATCGGCCGAGAAGATCCAGCTGCTCCACGACGAATCCGAGCCGGAGTGGTGTGGATTGTTGAGAATGGAGGCGAGGCTCTGGCCGGCGCTGTAAGTGCTGGGATCAAACTCGGGAGTGAGCCTGCTCGAGAATCTCCCATGCGTGGAAAAGCTCTTGTTGCGCCTGCTGCCACTGCCGCCAAGAGATTTCGGCCGTGGCGACTCCATCCTTGGCGGATTCCTAGCACGAATCCCTCGATCTCGACCTTGCGGAGGCCGGCGCCTCCATAATATCCTCTAGCTCGGGCATCCAGCCAGAGATCCGCGAATGCGTCGCGGGATCCCGAGCTCCGGTGGAAATTTCGAAAATACGTACTCAATCCAGCGCGGGCGAGTGGTAGATCTGCGAGCGCTCCTCCCCCCTCCTTCCCAGGAACCCTAAAACTTTGAAAGCAAACACTCTTTTTGTTATTTACTATCTATCCACTATGATAAGTCCTCTTTGGTGTTGCGACCTTTGCCTGAAGTCGTGTTCTAGCTGCACGAACGCTCTCTCCACCTCCGGGAGAGCTTCGAATTTTTGCTGGAGCGTCTGGCCAATCTCGTGAGCGTCACGCAGTGGCATGCTTTCGGGCAATTCGATCCCAACCTGGAAGGAAGAATGAATCGGTGGAAACACTGAAAAATCAATTTTTTTTACCTCCACGAAGTACAAGGCACCAAATGTGTATGCTCGGACGGTGTCAATGTGCTTGATGTCTCTGTGATGATTGAAAGTTATGTAGGTGAGCTTCTGCTGGATCTCCGGAGGAGCAGCCTTCCCAATCAGCGAAACTGGATTCAATCACGAGCAAAGAAAAACAAAGATAAGATCTAAGCTTCGGTCTTTCAACTGTGAAAAAAAACACTTACCAGCGTTTTCGATCACAGTTTCGGACCAGTTTACGATCGTGTACACCGCCAAAATGATCGCGCCGACTGGATCGAGCCACCAGTAGAACTTGTCAGCCAGAACAGCAGCAATCAATCCTACCAAATTGGTGACAACATCAAAGTAGTGATCCTGCAACGCTCCATTTCAAAAACAAAAACAACGATAGACGAAAAGTGGATTGATCACCTTTAGGCTAGAGCCGATTACTAGAGTTTTCTTTTGTGGCCTACCATTGCATAAGCTCGTATGATCTCGTTGTCAAAGGCTCTGCAGTAAAAGAAGAGTGCAAGCTTGACAAGCGTTGCTGTCCCCATTATGACAAGAAGCCACACCCACTGGCTCTGACTAAGTTGGTTCTCCTCGCTCTTTTCAAACAACTGTTTCACTCCCTCGAGGAAAATCTGTAGACCTGTAAGCTCTGTAAATCATCTCGCATGGAAAAAAAAAAACTCCAGCCAGAACGTACCTACAGTAGCCATGACCGCGGCAAAGATTATGATCCCCACCGGTTGAACTCGCAGCTTCCCGATCGGATAGTTGTAAACATCCGTGCTTTGCATCGACCATTGTGTGAACCATAGGATCAAACCGGCGACGAGATCCAAGAGTGAGTCGAGAGTTGATGCTGCGATAGCCAGGGACTGCGTCTGGATGGTCGCGTATAGCTGTAAACAAGGAAACGTTTTTGTTTTCCTCTAAGAAGTACAAAGAGAAATCATACCTTCATGATCAGCAAGATCACGTTGGAGATGTTTGAGATGTTGATCGCAAAGCTCTCGTTGCTATGAAGAGTGCCATCGATGCTTTCAGCGCTCTTGGTCGATTTGGAGACGTGGAGAAGAGAATCGACCTCCTCAAACATTTCCAGCGCTTCTCTTTGCCTCTTGTTATACTCCCGCACACCTGGTAGAATGAGGAACAGTTTTAGCTACCTCCAAGAAAAGAAGAAAAAAAAACCATTGCGCGATACCTTCCGAAATGGGGGCCTCCGTGTCGAGGAATGCGCCCTCCTGGAGCATCTTGTGGCACTTGAACTGCCATTTCCCCGAAATCCTCCGCAGCATCGACATGCTCTCGCGTCGCCGATGCCGCTGCTGCCGCTGCTGCTGCTGCTGCCCAGCGCTTTCATCCACAATCACGCCGCTAGAGCGCCGCCTCGACGGCTGATCCATGCCCGATTCCGGGAGCAGCGGCGCATTGAGCATTCTATATTTCACTCCAAGAACCCTAAAACATAACTACATTTCTTTCCCAGGGCCAAGAACTCTACTAGGAGCCCTAGGAATTCGTCATGAGCGGCGCTTCTAGCTCTTGCCCGCCCTCCGATCGCTCCGGCAATCAAATGTGGGCGCTACAAGTGAATGGGGTAAGCCGCTGCCAGTCTCTCGCATCAATCCGACCAAAATATTTCTTCTAGGAAATCCCTCGCGCCCCATCTACGCCTGGCCGGGAGCAACTCAAATCATCGCAGGAGAAGCTGGATGACATAATCAAGAGCAGCACTAGCAGCAGCGGCAAGAATCTCCGGTGCGTGATTATTTTTTCTTCTTCTTCTTCGTTCACTCTATCAAGTTCGTTTCTATCAGGCCAGAGAATGGTAACTGTCTTTCTTTCTCTCCTTCACTACATTGAAAGTGGTTTTTCTGCGCTAGAACGCCAAGAAATCCCTGAGGTCGACCTTGATGATGATACTACTCCTGAGGCAAGCTCTTCCCTTCTTTCATTCTCGTTCTAAATTTTTTAGAAGGCACACAGACAAATATCCAGCCGAATTCCAGGCTTCCAACAATCGAGGAACTAAATTCGAGTTTGCCATACAAGCTTCCATTCTTTCAGGTACGGATTTCGCTTTCCATGTCTTGGTTTTTTTAATACTTTTGCTATAGAACTCCGAGGTCGATCTGAGGCCACTTCTAAAGAATCTTTTGCCAGTGTGGGAGGTCAGCCGTCTTAGAACACAAGGAGAAAAAGTCTGACAGTTCGTTACTCCAGGTTGACGAAGATGATACTCTCTGGGATCGTGATTCTCTACTTGCAGAGGTTTCTTTTCTTGTTCTACGAAGATTGCCCTCACCAAAGTTTTACAGATTCAACTCAAATTCAATGAAGAACGTAGGAAACAACGTAGTGAGAACTCGCATTGATAAAGGTGTGTTTTATTTTATATTTCTCTCGAGAAACCATGTTGCAAATAATTAATTGTATGCCTGTGGATTCTTGTTGAGTGAAAAGCTCTGAGAACTGAAAGGCCAACTTTTCCGCCATGTCCAACTCCTCGCCATCTGGCACAGCCCAGTCAAACGCATGGAGCAAGCTTTCGAGCACGAACTGGACCGTGGTAGTCCCAAGCAGAATCTCCTCCGTCCCGATCCAAAACGGCAGCACTCGGAAGCTCTGGCCTTTCACATCGATGCCCGGCTGCCGAAGAAACCGCTCGGGATCGAACTTGAGAGGCTCGTCCCACCACCTTATGGCATAGATGTTGACGAGCGCTCGAGTTCCTGCTGGTATCACGTATCCCTCCAGCTCGCAAGCTTGGATGGATTGGTGAGGAATGCTCATGGGCCCTGGGGGATGGAGGCGCAATGTTTCCTTGACGATGGCTTGGATGAAAGTCAGCTTTAGAAGATCAGTCTCGTCCAGGCCGGGTTTTCTCTTTCAGCTCCTCCTGAGCTCGACGCATCAGTACTGGATTTCTTACGAGCTCGTCTACAACCCACTCCACCGTGATAGCGGTCCCAGCAGCGATCATATCCTACGAAGTTACGAGCATGTCAATCAAGGATTCCCAGATACGGGAAGAAGTCAGCCAGAGTGATACTTCCAGACACCGTGAGCGCCTGGAGCTCCTTCAAGAGCATGGACATCTCGGTCTTCCGGACTTGCTGGAACATCGAGACGCGCTTGGCAGTGAGGAGCTCCAGTCGCACATCCAGTGGTGGCCCAGATCATCCCACCTCCTCCATACCCAAAGTTCTCGCTGGCAATCGTCCTGAGCCTGGAAGAGAAGACGTGATCTAGCTTCTTGAGGAGCTCCATGGCGGCCTCTGGCGGTGCATGAGGCCGCCATGTCTCTGGGAGAGCTTTTGCAAGGATTGGTTGGGGGAGCTTGCCGAGGAGATGGAGATGGCTGAGGATGGAAGTCCCGGAGGAGATGGTGGCGATTTGCTACCTCGGTTACCACTGACAAGCTTAAGGAAGATGAGAACGCAAAAACAATCCAAAGGAACTCCTTCCAGGCACGATGGAAGTATGAACTTCGACTTTTATGTGCAGTGGACTAAGCAAGTCAAATACAAAGCCTATCCATTAGTCGCTGATGTCTACGTGATAGAATTCTATAAAGATGGATTTAATCCAATGTCTTATCCTTCTTTTGTCAGGTTTTCAATTCTATTTTTCTCTGCTTAAAACTAATATAAATTTAAAAATCGGGATGAAGTTGAGTTTTAACTTACTAGTTGAGCTCAAGACAATAAGCAAGCAAATGATGAAAAAATATAAACTCTATAGTTAACCTTTCAAGTTATTTGCAGTTTTTGTGATCTCTAAATGGTTTACAAAAACTACTCGCTTTCAAAGTCTCGTCGTGAAACAGCCACAAAGCTACAAGAGTTACACACACACGTTTTGTTTAGAACCGGTCTACCACAGCAGAGGAAAAGAGGCCCTCAAACCAACTCATACTGGATCTATATCAACTTTTTCAAAGTGTCCACTGTTTACTGTGGAGATTTTCGGTTGATAGAGGCAGATATTCTTCCCGGTTTATAAGTCTCCAAACTTTAGATTGCTGCCTTTCACGACTTTTCTCCTTTTGAGCTCTTTCACTCAAAACCCACTACTTCACGCCAACGGGTGACATGACATATTGTTGGCTCTGCATGGGTCTAAGAATGTATGAGAAACAATTAAAAATTATCTCTCGGTGCCATTTCTGCGAATAAATAACAGCGAGCAGAGGCCACAGGTTCACACCAATTAGTTCCTTCTTGAGACTTCACGACATAGAGTGTTCTGAAGTTCTATAGCAATGGCTTTCATCAAAATTGTCACGGTGGCAATTTTTTGTGTGCTTGGCTATTATTGGAGTTTTGGGTGATGAGGATCCTCTCCAGGATTTCTGCGTGGAGGATCCAAACTCCAATATTTTCATTAACGGAGTCCCTTGCAAAGATCCCACCACAGTCACTGCCGATGACTTCAACTCCACCATCCTTCGCCGGGGTCCAGTCACGAACAACACACTGCGAATCCAAGTCGACTTGATCGATATTACAATGTTTCCTGGCCTCAACACACAGGGACTCTCCATTGCTCGCCTGGCATTTGGTCCATTTGGCGTGAATCCTCCACACAACCATCCTCGAGCGTCCGAGGTCATCTAACTCCTCTAGGGACGCCTCTACGTTGGATTTGTGTCAACTTCCAACCAATTGTTTGCAAAGGTTTTGCATCCCGGTGATCTGTTCATCTTTCCCAGGGGTCTCGTTCACTTCCAGCGAAACCTGGATAACTTGGACACAGTTGCGGTGGCTGCGCTTGGAAGCCAAAACCCGGGAAGAACAGACATGGCTAGAGCGTTGTTCCAGACCACAACAAACATCATGAACGAAGCTCTTGAGCCAGCTTTGCAGGTTGACGAAAATGAGATTGATAACTTACGTCGTGGAGTGAACCGCACTTGATTCAAAGAGTCAAACTAATAAATGTTTTGCAAAAGTTTCAATTAACAAGGAAATCCGATCTTAGTTCAATTGGCAGAGCGGAGGACTGTAGTGGTGCTCAGAAGTCCTTTCGATTGTTCATTGTTTAAGTTTAGGGCCATGGATTCCCTCTCGTAGTTTTTCTTCCTCATGCTCATTCTTTCTCCAAGAATTTTGCCGTGCATGAAACCTGTTTATCCCTATGTTATGGCAGATTTTACAATTTTATAGCCAAATGGAAAAGAGGTGATTTATATATCTAATGAGAAATTTTTTTATATCTGAAAAAGAACATATAAATCTACGTGCCACAAGCTTACCTTTCGATTGACATTGCATTGTCCACCATGAAGCTATCCACTATAAGACAGTTTGTTAGAAAAAACTCATTTGAAAAGCCAATTGAACAACTTCTATTAAAAAATTCTATGATTCTACCTCGGTTTATATCTTTGAGTTTTTTTTTTTTTTCTGACCAACATAATATCATAATGTTATATAAACTTTGTTTCTGGCTTAGAACTCCTCACGACTCGCCCAACATAGTCACAGTGCCCGAGGTGGGCCAAGGAGTGTGGTCACGAAGAAGGACTTTTGAGTGTTCCGGATGCTGCTTTGGAGAAGATCAGCCAGCGAGGAGGGGCCAGCTGGGATCCAGCGGACGAAAGGACCGAGACGAAAGAGAGGCTGGGAAGTGGAATGAAACCATCTCTCCAGCTCCAGTCCAAGTCTAGCACCACATTCCGAAACCTTAAGCTTATAGTTGAATAATCAAAATCTTTGTAACACAACGCATGAAGACAATCTCACTGCTAGAAGATAGGCATTAGCAAACACGTTAGGCACTAAAAGCAAGCATGTCCAGATGCATTGGGCACATATTAGATGGAAGATAAGATGGATGTTCTTAACTCAGTCCTATGTTAAGTTGGCTGTTATTTCCCGTAAATAGTGTGGTAATCAGTATACGAAAGCTTAAAAGAATTTTCTGTGTCTACGGACAGCGCTGCTTCTTTGAAGCCGTTGAATCCAAGTGTTCGATTGTAAAGTCTTTTGTGTAGGCAACGAAGTTCGACTTCAAATCTCTACAGCTAGAATAAGAGTAATGTACGGACAATTCCCCTGTATAAATACGCATACCAAAGCCTTCCCTCCCAAGCATCTCTGCATCGATCAATCACTAACACCTCAATGGCTAAGCTTTCCCAAGTTTTTGTTGCTCTTATTGCAGTTTTTGCAATTGCCAATGTTATAGTCGTGCGGGGTGATGAAGATCCCCTCCAAGACGTCTGCGTTGAGGATCCCAACTCCAGAGTCTTCATCAATGGAGTTCCTTGCAAGGATCCCAGCACCGTGACCGCCGACGATTTCACCTCCACCATCCTCCGGGAGCCTGCAAACACCACCAACACTCTCAACATCATGGTCCAGCTGATCGATATCACAATGTTCCCAGGCCTCAACACGCAAGGACTCTCCATTGCCCGCCTCTCATTCGGTCCA